AGTGAATACATTTTTTTAAATTATTTTTTTATACTGGCCCCCCATGGGAAACGAACCCACAACCCTGGCGTTGCAAACGCCATGCTCTATCAACTGAGCTACATCCCATTAATAAAGGGAAATTCAAGGACAAAGCTATGTATTATTCTAGGTGCTTACTAAACACAATGTGTTAAAGTAATCTTCGTTCTACTCTGAGTACAGTGCCTTGCAAAAGTATTGAGCCCCCTTGGCATTTTTCCTATTTTGTTGCATTACAACCTGTAATTTAAATTGATTTTTATTTGGATTTCATGTAATGGACATACACAAAATAGTCCAAATTGGTGAAGTGAAACAACAAAAAGAACTTGTTTCAAAAGTGGTGCGTGCATATGTATTCACCCCCTTTGCTATGAAGCCCCTAAATAAGATCTGATGCAACCAATTACCTTCAGAAGTCACATAATTAGTTAAATAAAGTCCACCTGTGTGCAATCTAAGTGTCACATGATTTGTCACATGTTCTCAGTATATATATACCTGTTCTGAAAGGCCCCAGAGTCTGCAACACCACTAAGCAAGGGTCACCACCAAGCAAGCAGCACCATGAAGACCAAGGAGCTCTCCAAACAGGTCAGGGACAAAGCTGTGGAGAAGTACAGATCAGGGTTGGGTTATAAAAAAATATCCAAAACGTTGAACATCCCACGGAACACCATTAAATCCATTATTAAAAAATTGAAAGAATATGGCACCACAACTAACCTGCCAAGAGAGAGCCCCCCACCAAAACTCACGGACCAGGCAAGGAGGGCATTAATCAGAGAGGCAACAAAGAGACCAAAGATAACCCTGAAGGAGCAGCAAAGCTCCACAGCGAAGATTGGAGTATCTGTCCATAGGACCACTTTAAGCCGTACACTCCACAGAGCTGGGCTTTACGGAAGAGTGGCCAGTAAAAAGCCATTGCTTAAAGAAAAAAATAAACAAACACGTTTGGTGTTCACCAAAAGCCATGTGGGAGATTCCCCAAACATATGGAAGAAGATACTCTGGTCAGATGAGACTAAAATTGAGCTTTTTGGCCATCAAGGAAAACGCTGTCTGGCGCAAACCCAACACCTCTCATCACCCCAAGAACACCATCCCCACAGTGAAGCGTGGTGGCAGCATCATGCTGTGGGGATGTTTTTCATCGGCAGGGACTGGGAAACTGGTCAGAATTGAAGGAATGATGGATAGCGCTAAATACAGGGAAATTCTTGAGGGAAACCTGTTTCAGTCTTTCAGAGATTTGAGACTGGGACAGAGGTTCACCTTCTAGCAGGACAATGACCCTAAGCATACTGCTAAAGCAACACTCGAGTGGTTTAAGGGTAAACATTTAAATGTATTGGAATGGCCTAGTCAAAGCCCAGACCTCAATCCAATTGAGAATCTGTGGTATGACTTAAAGATTGCTGTACACCAGCGGAACCCATCCAACTTACATTTACATTTTAGTCATTTAGCAGACGCTCTTATCCAGAGTGCATACATTATATTTTTCATACTGGCCCCCCGTGGGAATCGAACCCACAAACCTGGCGTTGCAAACGCCATGCTCTACCAACTGAGCTACATCCCTGCCGGCCATTCCCTCCCCTACCCTGGACGAATTGTGCGCCGCCCCATGGGTCTCCCGGTCATGGCCGGCTACGACAGAGCCTGGATTCGAACCAGGATCTCTAGTGGCACAGCTAGCACTGCGATGCAGTGCCTTAGACCACTACGCCACTCGGGAGACTTAAACTTATAATATATAATAAATAATATGCCATTTAGCAGACGCTTTTATCCAAAGCGACTTACAGTCATGCGTGCATACATTTTTATTTTTATTTTTTTATTTTTTTGTGTATGGGTGGAGCAGGAGCTGGAGCAGTTTTGCCTTGAAGAATGGGCAAAAATCCCAGAGACATACCCCAAGACTTGCAGCTGTAATTGCTGCAAAAGGTGGCTCTACAACGTATTGACTTTGGGGGGGTGAATAGTTACGCACGCTCAAGTTTTCAGTTTTTTTGTCTTATTTCTTGTTTGTTTCATGTTCAAAGTGATAGGCATGTTGTGTAAATCAAATGATACAAACCCCCCAAAAACCAGGTTGTAAGGCAACAAAATAGGAAAAATGCCAAGGGGGGTGAATACTTTTGCAAGCCACTGTAATAACATAATATGATAGCAATATTATATGGTGGAGCTTTGCTCCCTCTGCTGGACATGGATAGGTAGTGCAGAGAGGGAGAGGGAAGTTACTGTATGTTGTAGCAGCACACACTGAGTGTACAAAATATTAGGAACTCTTTCCATGTCATAGACTGACCAGGTGAAATCTATGATCCCTTATTGATGTCACTTGTTAAATCCACTTCAGTCAGTGTAGATGAAGGGGAGGAGACAGGTTAAATAAGTATTTTTAAGCCTTGAGACAATTGATACATGGATTGTGCCATTCAGAGGGTGAATGGGCAAGACAAAATATGTAAGTGCCTTTGAACTGGGTATGGTAGTAGGTGCCAGGCGCACCAGTTTGTGTCAAGAACTGCAACGCTGCTGGGTTTTTCACACTCAACAGTTTCCCGTATGTATCAAGAATTGTCCACCACCCAAAGGACATCCAGCCAACTTGACACAACTGTGGGAAGCGTTGGAGTCAACATTGGCCAGCTTCCCTGTGGAACACTTTCGACACCTTGTAGAGTCCATGCCCCGACGAATTGAGGCTGTTCTGAGGGCAAATGGAGGGGGGTGCAATTCAATATTACAAAGGTGTTCCTAATGTTTAGTATACTCAGTGTATAAGAGGTTTTACCCAAGGTGGTGCCACATGACCCAACAGGAGGTAAGGTAGAGGAATCCCCTGCTTGTGACCACACCACCCAGAATGGACTGTGGTGTATTAACTAGAAACACAGTGGGCTGGGCCTTGGGGTGTATTCACTAAGTACCAAATGGAAGAAAATAGAGCGGAACAGGAAGGAACCATCTGAATTTGTCCAATAAGAAACTCTGGGTCTTCCTTTCCTGTGCCGGTCCTCATGAGAGCCAGTTTCATCATAGCACTTGATGGTTTTTGCGACTGCACTTGAAAAAACTTTCAAAGTTATTGAAATGTTCGGTATTGACTGACCTTCATGTCTTAAAGTAATGATGGACTGTTGTTTCTCTTTTCTCCCGTGTGGCACAGCAGTCTAAGGCACTGCATCTCAGTGCTTGAGGTGTCACTACAGACCCCGTGGTTCGATTCCAGGCTGTATCACAACCGGCCGTGATTGGGAGTCCCATAGGGCGGCGCACAATTGGCCCAGCGTCGTCCAGGTTTTGCCGGTGTAGGCCTTCATTGTAAATAAGAATTAAATAAGAAATTAAAATTAAAATAAATAAAAAAATGTGCTTATTTGAGCTGTTCTTGCCAAATAGGGCTATCTTCTGTATTCCACCCCTACCTTGTCACAACACAACTGATTGGCTCAAAAGCATTAAAAGGAAAGAAATTCGACAAATTAACTTTTAACAAGGCACACCTGTTAATTGAAATGCATTCCAGGTGACTACCTCATGAAGCTGGTTGAGAGAATGCCAAAAGTGTGCAAAGCTGTCATCAAGGCAAAGGGTGGCTACTTTGAAGAATCTCAAATATAAAATATATGTTGATTTGTTTTTTGGTTACTACATGATTCCATATGTGTTATTTAATAGTTCTGATGTCTTCACTATTATTCTACAAGGTAGAAAATAGTAAAAATAAAGAAATACCCTTGAATGAATAGGTGTGTCCAAACTTTTGACTGGTACTGTATGTGTATATTATTTTCTATTATATATGTGTATATTTTATTCTATACGTGTATATTCTATTCTATTCTGTGTCTATTTTATTATAGTCTACAGGTATATGTGTATATTCTATTCTATATGTGTAATTCTATTCTATACGTGTATATTCTATTCTATATGTGTATATTCTATTCCATACGTGTATATTCTATTGTATACGTGTATATTCTATTCTATATGTGTATGTTCTATTCTATGTGTACATTCTATTGTATACGTGTATATTATTTTGTATACATGTATATTCTATTCTATATGTGTATATTCTATTTGATTCTATATGTGTATATTCTATATTATATGTGTATATTCTATTCTATCCGTGTATATTCTATTCTATTTGTGTATATTCTATTCTATCCGTGTATATTCTATTCTATTTGTGTATATTCTATTCTATATGTGTATATTCTATACTATATGTGTATTTTCTATTCTATTCAACAGGTATATGTGTATGTTAAAGAAAAACCCTTATAGGGTTATAGGTGGGTTTATAGTTTGGACACACATATGGTTTATAGTTTGGACACACTTAATAGGTGTGTCCAAACTTTCTATACGTGACGTTTCTATTCTATATGTGTCTATTCTATTCTATTGTATATGTGTAGGCTGTATTCTATTCTAAGGGACTTGCAGGCTCTGTGACCTGCTATTTGATGGATTATGGATGTAGCCTATTGTAGCCTATATGTTAGAGAATGAATGTGAAGAACAGGGACCAGGTGTCCTCTTCTATTTAATTTTAATTTCACACTGTAACTATATTCTTCATTTGTATGCACATGGTTAGCCTTAAGTGTGAATACAGATGCAATCACATGACAGTGGAGCATGCCCCTATTGTTTAACAATATGTCGGCTATCCACTAGCAGTCATCGTACGATCCAATGCCATGTGACGCCACTTCCCCGGGATAGGAGGCGTTGTCCCACGGTGCTGCTTCTCAGGCGTCACTTCTATGCAGAAACCGGTTATCCTGCAAAGGGACATACATTAGATAAAGCCTATACATAAAATCGAACGGTTCAGGCATATTTGTGTCTTCGTTCGTGCTATTATTAGGGGTTGCTTGTCTAGGATATAGGCTACGTTGAAATATCATATATAATATCATCATAGTCTTTTCGTGCACAAAATGATCAAGAACGGACATCACCAAATGAACACAACAGGGAAAGATGCAGGGACGAACCTCGGCGCTACAGCTTGCAGTCCGGAGAAGAGAAGACGAACTATCCGGGTGTGGTGCGACGGGTGGTGAGTGATACAGAATAGCATTACAGAGACAGCTACATATAAGGCCTGTGTTGCTACATTGTTGCCCTGAGCATGTATACGCCGACAATTAAAGGAATTATTCTCATAAACTTGAGGGGTGCCAACCGCTATTAAACGGCCCAACTTAGGTAGGTCTATTTCAAAGATTGCATATTTTAATGTGTGGGAAACGTAACATAATTTCGCCATTTATCTGATGTCCAGTGAACTGTCCATAGCCAATGCACTTCTTAGAAATACTGCCATAAACAGCAGCGCATGCTATTTCCATTCTATCGGCATCCCGCCTGTCAAAACAGAAAGGTGTTTCAATAGGCTCATGCCAGGTGTGTTTACCTTCCAGTCTTACTCTCATTAATGTCAACATGCCAACAGGGTATTCACTTTGCATGTTATTCGAGCGATAGGGTAGGCTATGCACGGCGACCGTAGCCTAGGCAAACTGCATGCACGCATGGTGTGCATACAAGTGGAGAAGGGTGCAATTGTGGCCGGCAATTCGGGGTGTTCCTGCATGTGGGCATTCCTGCATCTGCAGGAACCCCTCTTTATACTTCTATTGGTCCATTTTTAAGTTAGGGACAAGCGGGAGGTGTGGGGTGCTCTAGTACAGTTGGTGGCGTTAATGCACAATAAGGTTGGATGCCAGCCAACGATAAACGCCACAGAAGAAGGGGTGGGGGAGACAATGGTAGCTAGTTAGCCGTACACTGGTAGTAGACAGTGTCCTTCAGCCCTCGACGGCGAGGCCAGGTGTTGGGGCGAAGGACACTGTGTGCTAGTTTAGCCAGCTAGTCCTAAGGAGGACTCCGGTACACAGCAGGCGAGAAGCAGGGGGCGACACCGTGTGCTAGCTAACTAGCAAGCTAGCTAGCACACGATGTGGCTAACTATACTGATCAAACATGCAACAATTTCCTCGATTTTCCTGAGTTACATATAAGGAAATCAGTCAATTGAAATAAATAAATTAGGCCCTAATCTATGGATTTCACATGACTGCCAGGGGCACAGCCATGGGTGGGCCTGGGATGGCATAAGCCCACCCACTTGGGAGCCAGGCCCACCCACTCGGGAGCCAGGCCCAGCCAATCAGAATGAGTTTTTCCCTTCATAAGGGCTTTATTACAGACATAAATACTCCTCAGTTTCATCAGCTGCCCGGGTGACTGATCTCAGATGATCCAGCAGGTGAAGAAGCCGGATGAGGAGGTCCTGGGCTGGCGTGGTTACACGTGGTCTGCGGTGGTGAGGCCGGTTGGACATACTAACAAATTCTCTAAAACCACATTGGAGGCATCTTATGGTAGAGAAATGAACATTAATTTCTCTGGCAACAACTCTGGTGAACATTCCTGCAGTCAGCATGTCAATTGCACGCTCCCTCAAAACTTGAGACATCTGTGGCACATTTTAGAGTTTAATGATCATGCTGTTTAATCAGCTTCTTGATATGCCACACCTGTCAGGTGGGTAGATTATCTTGGCAAAGGACAAATGTTCACTAACAGGGATGTAAACCAATTTGTGTATAACATTTGAGAGAAATAAGCTTTTTGTGCGTATGAAAAAATTCAGGGATCATTTATTTCAGCTCATGCAACATGGGACCAACACTTTACATTTTTGTTCAGTATATCAAGCTAGCTAGTACACGGTGTCGCCCTAGCTTCCCGTCTGCTGTGCTAGCGGGAGGCGGGGACGACCGGTAGATAGTGTCCTTCGCCCCCGCCTGCCGAGCACATTTGTTTCTCTGGTACATAGCAGGCGGGGCGACACTGTGTGCTAGCTAACTAGCAAGCTAGCACACGGTGTCACTAACTAGCTAGTTAACTAGCACATGGTTTTGCCCATTCATGCAGGAACCAATAGGGTGCTCGAGGGGGGGCCTTCATGCAGGAACAAATGGGATGCTCAATGGGGGGATGTTCATGAAGTAACCAATGGGATGCTTGAGGGGGGGCGGGGCGTTCCTGCAGATGTAGGAATGCCCATTTGCAGGAACGCCCCGAATTGCGGGCTGCAGGTGCACACTATTGTACGAGTGTACAACTTAACTCTACTTCTTTTGCTGTGGATTTCGGATATTTGATCTAGAATTACAGATAGATTCCTGTACACAATGCACTGAATACCACCTAAATACCACAATCCCCCAAGCATGCATGTCATGGCAACATGTAGCCTAAAGGAGATGGCCATGCCAAACCCATATAGGCTATATTTAAAATATGAGTAGGCTTGGCCTAGGCCTTTATCATCAATATTAGAATAGCAGAATTAATACTATTATATTCCAAATGGAATGATCCCATGTGAAATACACCTATACCAGGACTGAATGAATGTATTGACTTATTGATTGCCAATTCGGCAGTTGGTTCTGCTACCATAACACTCACACATACGGAGACACAATCACCCATTCTCATGTGCTGAGGCAGAAAGTAAGGTAAAAGTCAGGTAACTCAAGACAGGAAAGGGGACTTCTGAGATAATACCCGGTGTCAACAGTTCACATTCCTTCCAACACACTTCAGAGTACAGGGTCAGCACTCCGAAGTCTTCAACATCTGTCCCTTTCTCCAGGAACAAGGGCGTTTGTTGCATGCTATATTTCTTTGTATGTTTGCATTTTGTTGCACGGAATTCATATTTTTCACAAAATACAGCATGTTACAAACAGCGCCCCATAGGCCTGCACTATCACTCGCTCCACCTCCCTGACACCCACTGTATTGTACTGTAGGTGTTTAGACCACAACACCCTCCTCCTCTGTGTTGTAACCTGCTTATGACACAAACAAGCCCGCCATTGTTCAGTGGTCAGAGTTTGTTTCAAAATGTAGTGGTAGTGTGTGTAAACTAAACACTGACATTGTTGAGTGTTTCTGCCATGAGAAACACCGTCACACATACTCTCCCCCTGGGCCAGAGTCAGAAGCTACAGGACATGTACCTGACCCACGTCGGGGAAGTAGGGAAAAAAACACCGCTTTGAATTCATGCGCGTGAATACCAGGATTACGGCCAGCTTTCTCTGGGAGAATTCCAGTCATTTTGGTGCAGCCGCCTAGCAGTGGTTTGATGGAATGTTGCAGAATGTTTCGGATTCCAGAATATTAATCGGTGGGGTGAGTTCCCAAAGAGAGCCAGTGTCAACAGAGATCATTTCAGTAACCCCTCGGCCCACACCTGCCATGTCCATGAAAGTTCATGCCCTGCGGTCTCACTCGTCTGTCCTCACTAAATACAGTACATTGTTTGGCCATACAGTTCAGCAGCATCACCATATTCTTGTTGACATCTAGCACCGTCAGCATCAGCTGTAGTAGGCCCTAGGAGTGGCACTGGACAGATTGACTCAGGAAATGATTATTATTTTTTTGTCTGTCAGTGAGACATTAGGCTAGATTCTATCAGATCCGCCCTAGCCGACACCCGCATAGCGGTTGTTTTGGCGGTGATAGAAGTGGAACTGCGTTAGAGCTGTCAAACCAACAAGCGGCATTATACCTAAAGCGGACGTTGCCATTGGCTGCATGGAGTCACATTAGGAGAAATCCCATGCAGCCTTGTTTACAAGTTTGAACACTGGAATGTGAGCTGTAATCTACACCTCTATTAGGCTGATAGAAATCCTCATTACTTTGTTTTGTGAGTGTACTTTTTAACGCGAGTGGGACAGGTGTGGCTTTGTGACAATGATCACACGAGCAGCCACTCTGCTTTGACAGCTCTAACGCAGTTGCACCTCCGACACCGCCAAAACATCAGCTATGCAGGTTAACTAGTTAACGCTTGGATCTGATTGAATCTAGCCCTAAATCTGCTAAACTATCAATTGTAGGAGTGTCACTTGTCAGATTGTCTAAGAATAAAAAATTAAAAAATAAAAAAAGATCAGTGTCAGTGAGACCTTATCTGTTCGACTATCTATCCGGACTAGCTAGGGTTGAAAAAGTCAGTGAACTTTTAATAAATTCGCTGGTTTTCCCGAAATCCCTGTTGGAGAATTCACGGAATCAGGATGGAATAAGCAGGAAATCCGGAATTCAAACAGGATCTCTGGAAAACCAGGGAATTTATTTTGCAACCCTAATCCGGACACTGTCCTGCCTTTAGGGTTGAAGTTGGAGACATTCTGTTCTTAATTGGTTTCCAGTGACAGAAGGTAGCCAAGGTCAAAGTTAGCAACATCATCAACTGAGCGCTAAAGTCTACTGACACTCCTCACTCAGGCTTTCACATAGCTGCTGCCAGGCCGGGTTGTGTTCATTAGGCAACAAACAGAAGGAAAAAAACCTACTGAAACAGGAAGGGACTACCTGGATGCTCATTTTCGTTTACCGTTGCAAAATGTTTGAAAACGTGTGTGCCCTAATCAAGACGACCCAGAACACAGCCTATAAATATGCAGTTTACAATCTCAGTCAGGGGAGGAGTCATTCTGAGGTGATGTCTGTCAGTAAATCCCCAGTAGTAATAACCTCTGTCAGGGGAAGAGTCGTTCTGAGGTGATGTCTGTCAGTAAATCCCCAGTAGTAATAATCCTAACAGATGTAATGACACCATAGATTATCTTTATGAGAGATAGCACAAGAAGCCTTTCTAGGCCTGTTTCATGTATCTATGGTACATGGTGGATCATGTATAGATAGTATATCCAAGCACATTTTAATGATGGCATAGATTATCTTTATGAGAGAGATAGCATAGGATCAAGCCTTTCTATATGAAGTATTTGTGGTAAATCCGAGAAACCATTAGACGCAGGCATCAAGTAAAGATTTGACCAATAACAAAAATGAGAACAAATGTTTGGGCTGTCTTGCTGGAGGGTTGCTAGCCTGGCTGATTTGCAGACCCACGTTGTACACAGCAAGCTGTGCCCCAATGGTCTGGAAAGCCAGTCGTTATAATTGTATATTCAATCCGTCTCAGAGTAGGCATATTGATTGGTTCTTTCAACAACAACAACAAAAATATATATCTTGGGGGTTGAGACCTCTCATTGTTTGGATTTGAAAACCCAACAGTTGTTAAGCAAGGGGAAGACACTTGGAGGCTCTGAGTGGCTGTCCGTGTTTGAGTGAGAGAGACACAGAGGACAACCAACCAGTAAAGGCACAGTCCCGTTCATTATCGACACTTGGAGGGCTCTGAAGCATTAGGACTGGTTCAGCCAGTTCTGAAGTCAGGAGGACTGTATCACAGACCTAGTCATAGGACTGTACACCAACCTAAAGTCAGAGACTGGATCAGCCAACTCGAGTATTAGGACTGGTATCACCAGATTCTGAAGTCAGGAGGACTGGTATCAGCCAGACCTGAATCATTAGGACTGGATCAGCCAGACTCTGAAGTCAGGAGGACGGTATCACCAGATTCTGAAGTCAGGAGACTGTATCACCAGACTCTGAAGTCATTGGACTGGTATCAGCCGGTCTGATCATTAGGACTGGTATCAGCCAGGCTCTGAAGTCATTGGGACTGGTATCAGCCAGCTCTGAGTCGAGAGGACTGGTATCCCAACTCTGAGTCATTAGACTGGTATCAGCCAGCTCTGAACATTAGGACTGGTATCGACCAGATTCTGAATCAGGAGGACTGGTATCAGCCAGACTCTGAAGTCATTAGGACTGGTATCGCCAGACTCTATCAGGAGGACTGGTATCACCAGACTCTGAAGTCAGGAGGACTGGTATCACCAGTTTATCAGGAGACTGGTATCAGCCAGACTCTGAGTCATTCAGGACTGGTTATCAGCCAATTCTAATCAGGAGACTTGGATCAGCCAGACTCTGAAGTCATTAGGACTGGTATCAGCCAACTCTGAATCGAGGACTGTATCAACCAGATTCTGAGTCAGGAGACTGGTATCAGCCAGCTCTGAAGTCATTAGGACTGGTTATCAGCCAGCTCTGAAGTCATTAGGACTGGTATCAGCCAGTCTGAGTCATTAGGACTGGTATCAGCCGACTCTGAGTCAGGAGGACTGGTATTCACCAGACCTCTGAAGTCATTAGGCTGGTATCAGCCAGCTCTGAATCTTAGGACTGGTACCCAGCCAGATTCTGAAGTCAGGAGGACTGGTATCAGCCAGACTCTGAAGTCATTAGGACTGGTATCAGCCAGGCTCTGAAGTCATTAGGACTGATTCTGAAGTCAGGAGGACTGGTATCAGCCAGACTCTGAAGTCATTAGGACTGGTATCAGCCAGACTCTGAAGTCAGGAGGACTGGTATCAGCCAGACTCTGAAGTCATTAGGACTGGTATCAACCAGATTCTGAAGTCAGGAGGACTGGTATCAGCCAGACTAGGGGGTCTCAGCCAGTAATGGAAATTAGATGGTCTTGGGACTTCTTTTGTTGGGCTTGTGCTTTTCAGTTGTCTGTCCACTGCCTCTGGTAGTGCTCTCTGCTCTGTAATTACACTGTCACAAAACAATTAAAGGATCCCCTTAACGACATGATTGCTCCAAAATTGAGTACATGATTGATTTTAGACATTGATGCTCAATCGATCAATTTAAACTTACAGTAAGTGCACGAACACTTAAAGATTGTATATTTGGAAAATATGTCAGTTAAAAAAACCATAGAGTAAGTGTACTTTGTCATCACGTGACATGGTGTAGACTTAAAAGGATCTATCTTTACATGATTATAGTTATCCTTTATTATTATTTTGATCTATTTGATCCTGTTTACCTTATTATAGTGATTCTGTTTATCTATCATTTATCTATTTAGTTGTGCACTCCTTTCTGTGCTATCTCTATACCACTATACCATTCCCTACTAGGACCTAGCTGGTGTTATTGTCAAACAGCTCTGGTGCTATTTGGGTGTCTGTCTGCTAGCTGACCTTGCCACACTACTTAATATTTCATTACGGCCTGTGATCCTCTGGTGATTCCTCCCCTGCTTAAAAAAAACAACAGGAACAGCATCACCCCAGGCCAGACCACCTTGCAAGCCACCTAGCGTTCCTGGGTTACACTGTCCAAGGGCAGGCAAGCAGGCAGACAGACAGACAGACAGGAAGGCAGGCAGACAGACAGACATGGACACCAAGCCCAGGACGGCAGGGCCTCCCTCACAAGCATAGTCTTTTATGTAACCATTAGTCCTTTGTCTCAGTCTCCTTACACACACACGCAGGTGCACACACACACACACACACACACTTAACTTCTGGCCTGACCAGCTACACTCAGTAGTCACATTATGCCCCCCATTTAGAATAAAGGTGTATTCCTTTCCACAGCTCTAACAGACAGCGTGAAGGAAACTGCTAATGCTGTTCAGTCATCACACACAAAACAATGTCCTTTTGGTCGCGCCACACAACGTGTTCATTTAACATTCGGTACCGTTGATAACGCTTTTAAGAACAGCCACGTGGGAAAGAAAGCTGATTAAAAAAAAGGTGATAACATTAAGTGCTCCATCTTGAAAGTTCACTTAAGGGCAGTACAAAGTAGGAACAAGACAAGTCTGTGCAGTGTATAGTGATACGACCACATCACACCATGGTTCAGGCGTTCACTGTGTCATCACTACCCTACCCCTTAGACAGGCAGGCTCCTTAGCAACATGACATTCTCTTACTGCTCTGGGCTGGACATCTCTAAAGCGTGACATCTCTAATTTGATGCCATTTTATAGCAGCGATAGCAAGCACGTCATGTAAAGTAGTTGTAAATGGTTTATGACTGCTGTTATCCACTTTTATGATCTGTCAAATTACTAGATGTAGAATATATTTATTTATTTATTTTTATTTAACCTTTATTTAACTAGTCAGTTAAGAACAAATTGTTATGTACAATAATGGCCATTAACCATTAACACACATTTTATTGACACAATACACTGGCGATAAGAATACTCCAGGTTTCAACTTTCTCTGTAATATTTTACTGTAGGCAATGTGCATGTATGTCAAGTGCCTCTATAACACAGGCTACATGACTACAAATGTGCTATTCCAGTTCCGCTATAACATGCTACTGAGGAGGTTTGATGCCATTTCCACATAAGGGAAGTTATAGCCTAGGGCCCTCAAATTCAAATCAACTTCAACTTTCCCCCCTCCAACCAGGGACTGATTTAGACCTGGGACTCCAGGTGGCGAAATAATAATCATGTATAACAGAAAACCAGCAGGCTCCGGACCTCGTAGGGTGAGTGTATAACAGAAAACCAGCAGGCTCCGGACCTCGTAGGGTGAGTGTATAACAGAAAACCAGCAGGCTCCGGACCTCGTAGGGTGAGTGTATAACAGAAAACCAGCAGGCTCCGGACCTCGTAGGGTGAGTGTATAACAGAAAACCAGCAGGCTCCGGACCTCGTAGGGTGAGATTTGAATACCACAGCCGGGCCTAGGGAATGGAATGGGGAAAGTCATAAATCCAAAAGGTCACAGGACAACAACGTCCTGTCATCTATAGTACCCATTATGACAAGCTTTATTGTATCTTATACCATGGTTCATAATGTTTATGACTGACTATGACAGATGGTATAATGTCTTATGTAGCTGTTCTAAAGGCTTTATGAATCCATACATCAGGGGGCCTACAGTATAGCATTACCACTTGCTGTGCTAATTCTCACTGTACCTGTACCTCAAACACCACTGAGTGAGTGAGGAGCCGGAACAGACACCAAACCACTGTATGGCCTGTCATGTCAGCAGTTTGAGTGATAGCAGGCTAATGCTAATGTCCATCTTTTAGTCATCACCTTGCTAGATTACCCTGTACCAACCTGAGTCCCAATCTGGCCTAAAATCTAATTAGCTACAGATGGAGTGCTCAGTGCTCATCTCCATGACTACTATGGATGTAGTAAATCTGTTTCTCTGACTTTGTTACTTTGATGGTCTAAAATGTACATTATGGACAGGTTTCCCGGAACCAGATCAAGCCTACTCCTATATTACAACACATGCTCAGTGGGAAAGTGTTTTTTAAATCCAGGAATAGGCTTAATCTGCGTTTTGGAAACTGACCATATGAATTCTAAGACATGTTTGTGACTGGTTGAAACAGTTGTTTTTTATTGTCATTGCATCATCGAATAATATAACACATGCTGGATGTGATATAAATAATAATAATAAATACAAAAAAGATGGATCCACATAACAGTTACATAATCAGTTCTGAAGCAGCAACACCAGGGTCCTGTCCAGTAGGGAGAACATGTTTTGTAACTGGGAGGTGAACCTTAACCTGAACCTGTCCTGATAACAACACATCTGTTGTAAAACATCTTGCTACAGTGTGCCCTACTGAACAGGACCCTGGCTAGTTCTTTCCCCTGGGTTTCTGTATTTCTCTCTATTGGTGTGGTTGTCTAATGTTGTTGAGGAGAGAAAGCAAGAAAGCATTTCACAGTACCGTGTGCACGTAATCAATAAACTTTGATTTGATTTGTTGATAGCTTCTGTGGTGAACAGTTTCTGTTGACAATCTCCCCTCCATTCTCCCTAGTATTAACTGTTGCTTTGTTATCCGTCCTCTAGCTATGACATGGTCCATTATGGTCACTCCAACCAGCTGCGGCAGGCCAAGGCCATGGGAGATTACCTCATCGTTGGAGTACACACAGACGGTAAGAGCTTCAGGCCTGGGGTTCCAGTCCCAGCATGCAACAGGGGAGCCTCCATCACACCAGGGTTGGGGTTCTAGTCCCAGCATGCAACAGGAGAGCCTCCATCACACCAGTGGTTGTATTCATTAAGCACTGAACGTAAGAAAATGGATGGAAACAGGGAGGAGTTACCTGGACCAAAACCATTAGTTACCTCATCCAATAAGAATTCTTAATTTCCGTTGTGGGCCCTAATGAATGTGACCCTGACCTCCATGGAATAACCTCCACTCTCCCAATCCCCTCAGACTCACAGACCCAGCATAGTGACCTCATCCTTTCAGCCCTCAACTGCCACTACCAGTCCCCCATTACATCTCTCACCCCAACCAAGACCCCAACCAGACCTGACCTGCATCACCTCAACACAGAGCCAACACCCCCCAAACACACACACACACACACACACACACACACACACCAAAGCATCTCCCAGCCAGACCCTATCCCTCTCCTCCTTCGCTCCCAAACCCTTCACCCTGACATGGGGAGGTGTCTGGCTGCCAGCCTCCCACTGCTTTAATAACGTCATCACTACCAGGAACCAGGATTGTGTTCATTAGGCACCAAATGGAATAAAAACAGACTGAAACAAGGATGGACTACCTGGACTTGTTCTTGTTCCTAATGAACACCAGCCACCTGTGTGCTGTAAGATGTTGTGGCTGTTGTGACAGTAGTAACACAGGGACCCAAACAGTGGCTGGGACACAACACATCAGTGCCTCCCATGGCACACTAAGGCACTCTGACACTGTGACCGACAGGCACACTGTGCGACGGGCGCCATGTTAGTGTTTACGATAACCCAGAACTACATGGCTTAACTCAAACAATAGAGCCTCACACACTGTGGTCTGTCAAGGACAAAGGAACACATAGATAGTAGGCTATAACCTCTCTATCACACAGAGAGAGAGAGAGGAGAGAGAGAGGAGAGAGAGAGAGAGGAGAGAGAGAGGCGTGATAATGGATTATCGCTGCTCCAGTGTGGAGAACGTACTGTACACTCAGTGTAAAACTATTATACAGTTAATAATGTATCTCTACCTCCCCTGTCTCCCCCAGTTTTGATGACTTTGCAAAAAAATATACACAGACTCTAAAGCCCTTGTTTGTTTTCAGACCCACCTGGATCATTTCTAGCCTGGACCCAGATCGGTTTGTGCTGTCTTGCCAACTTCTATGGCCAGGCATGCCAATGAGCATAGGGGTTAACTTGGCAGACAACACAAACAGTTCTGGGATTATTTCACTTTATTGAAACAAGTTCACAGTCAACCAAGTCTTGGCGGTCATACAGTATATCCCTATGTTGTACGCATGTTTTCATTGTTTGAGTCCATCACACTATCTACTGTAGCAGCCTGGTGGCCTACTCTTTTCTTTGTTCCTTGTCATACCAATGGTTGACAACAACATGACAGTTGGCTACAGCGCATGCAGTATGGCAGGGTTTCCCAAACTCGGTCCGAGGCCCGCCCCTGGGTGCACGTTTAGTTTTTTGCCCTAGCGCTACACAGCTGATTCAGATAATCAACTCATCATCAAGCTTTGATTATTTGAATCAGCTGTGGGGGGGTCAATTTATGCAACCACTAAGAGCGTTGAATTGTGAGGCTAAACTTGTCCGCTGTTTTGGTTCCGTAGCTACCGCGTTGTAGCAGTGTGAAGCACACCGGTGCACATGCACAGATACTCTGTGAGACTGTGTGAGAGCAAAGTCTTGCATCGCGTTCATCTCAATATCTGCGGTGCTGTTCGTTGCAACGTCTCGCTGAGTATACTTTTAACTGATCAAGATGTTCAGATCACTATCTGTTCATGACTCGTCTATAGTAAACATGGTCATAAAATGTGTCTCTTACCATCAGCTGTGAATGTCCAGACATATGGATCTGAATGTGGACCGGAAACTGACCACAGGATGCTTGTTAAAGGGATAGTTCACTCAACTAATTTCATCATGATCAAAAGGCATTATCACAGCTTTTTCTCTGTATTGAAAGTGCTCTATCTTGAAAACTTGACTGCTGATATGCACACTTTTTGGGGGATCGTGTTAACAGTGTTCTAATGAACAAAATACTAAAAGATGAACTATCCCTTTAATGCCAAGTGTAAACACTCTCTAAAGCTATTAGCATCTGGTGGTTGGTGTGCTTTGATGAATATCAATGACCATTAGTAATAATACCTCCTCACCCTGTAGGTGAGATCTCACAGCACAAGGGTCCCCCGGTCTTCACCCAGGCTGAACGATACAAGATGGTGCGAGCCATCAAGTGGGTGGATGAGATAGTGGAGGGAGCGCCCTACGTCACCACACTGGAGACCCTGGACAAGTACTCCAGTGACTTCTGTGTGCACGGAGGTGAGTTTGCTGAGATGTTTGAATGGGTGGGCCGGTTCTGAATATTCAGTTCATCTTTATTTAACCAGGATCATGTTTTGTGTATTACCAATATCTAATGGTTCTATCTTACCCCTTGACCTGCTATAAAGTATCTAATGTCTGTCACCTTGATCAGAGTATAGCAGACATGTTGAATGTGTGATTTCAGATGACATCACACTAACAGTGGATGGGAAGGACACATACGAAGAGGTGAAGAGGTCAGGGAGGTACAGGTGAGAGTGACTCAAGCTGGAATGAACCTTGAACTAAAGCTGTCATTAATAATATACACTGAACCAAAATATAAACGCAACATGTAAATAAAAGATCCCAGAAATGTTCCATACACACAAAAAAGCGTATACGTTTTACATCCCTGTTAGTGAGCATTTCTCCTTTGCCAAGATATTCCATCTACCTGACAGGTGTGGAATATCAAGAAGCTGATTAAAAAGCATGATCATTACACAGGTGCACCTTGTGCTGACACAACACAATGCCACAGATGTCTCAAGTTTTGAGGGAGCGTGCAATATATTTTTTATTTTTTTATTTTACCTTTATTTAACTAGGCAAGTCAGTTAAGAACAAATTCGTATTTACAATGACGGCCTACACCGGCCAAACCCGGACGACGCTGGGCCAATTGTGCGCCGCCCTATGGGACTCCCAATCACGGCCGGTTGTGATACAGCCTGGAATCGAACCAGGGGGTCTGTAGTGACGCCTGACTGCGGGAATGTCCACCAGAGTTGTTGCCTAAGAATTGAATGTTCATTTCTCTACCATAAGCCTCCTCCAATGTCGTTTTAGAAAATGTGGCAGTATGTCCAACCGGCCTCACAACCGCAGACCATGTGTATGACGTCGTGTGGGCGAGCAGTTTGCTGATGACAACATTATGAACAGAGTGCCCCATGGTGGCGGTGGGGTTATGGTATGGACAGGCATAAGCTACAGACAACGAACACAATTGCATTTTAACGATGGCAATTAGAATTTTTGGAAACAAGTAATTTTTTTCATTTCACTTCACCAATTTGGACTATTTTGTGTATGTCCATTACATGAAATCCAAATAAGAGTCCGTTTTGATTACAGGTTGTGGTGCATCAGGGTGGGAAGGACGCCAAGGGGGATGAATGCTTTTGCAAGGCACTGTACGTGTGTGTGTATATATATATATATATATATATATATATATATATATATACAGTGGAGAGAACAAGTATTTGATACACTGCCGATTTTGCAGGTTTTCCTACTTACAAAGCATGTGGAGGTCTGTAATTTTTATCATAGGTACACTTCAACTGTGAGAGACGGAATCTAAAACAAAAATCCAGAAAATCACATTGTATGATTTTTAAGTAATTAATTTGCATTTTATTGCATGACATAAGTATTTGATCACCTACCAACCAGTAAGAATTCCAGCTCTCACAGACCTGTTAGTTTTTCTTTAAGAAGCCCTCCTGTTCTCCACTCATTACCTGTATTAACTGCACCTGTTTGAACTCGTTACCTGTATAAAAGACACCTGTCCACACACTCAATCAAACAGACTCCAACCTCTCCACAATGGCCAAGACCAGAGAGCTGTGTAAGGACATCAGGGATACAATTGTAGACCTGCACAAGGCTGGGATGGGCTACAGGACAATAGACAAGCACCGTATTGAGGGGAGGATGGATGGGGCCATGTATCGCGAGATCTTGGCCAACAACCTCCTTCCCTCAGTAAGAGCATTGAAGATGGGTCGTGGCTGGGTCTTCCAGCATGACAACGACCCGAAACACACAGCCAGGGCAACTAAGGAGTGGCTCCATAAGAAGCATCTCAAGGTCCTGGAGTGGCCTAGCCAGTCTCCAGACCTGAACCCAATAGAACATCTTTGGAGGGAGCTGAAAGTCCGTATTGCCCAGCGACAGCCCCGAAACCTGAAGGATCTGGAGAAGGTCTGTATGGAGGAGTGGGCCTAAATCCCTGCTGCAGTGTGTGCAAACCTGGTCAAGACCTACAGGAAACGTATGATCTCTGCAATTGCAAACAAAGGTTTCTGTACCAAATATTAAGTTCTGCTTTTCTGATGTATCAAATACTTATGTCATGCAATAAAATGCAAATTAATTACTTAAAAATCATACAATGTGATTTTCTGGATTTTTGTTTTAGATTCCGTCTCTCACAGTTTAAGTGTACATATGATAAAAATTACAGACCTCTACATGCTTTGTAAGTAGGAAAACCTGCAAAATCGGAAGTGTATCAAATACTTGTTCTCCCCACTGTATATATATATACACACACAGTTGAACTCGGAAGTTTACAGCAGAACGCTTAGGAGTGAGGCTAGTGATTTAAGGTGAAAAGACCAGATCAGAAACCCTAAATCACGTGAAGGAAATGGAGTTTGCCAAAAGACAAAAACATGAAATTGCATTAATAAGCTACGGGCAACATAACTGAAGATGAAATCCACAGTTCTTGATTGATGTTACTGTTGATGGCCACCCTGCCACAGTTTGCTGCTAGAAAAGGTTGCCATTATTCGAGATAGAACTGATTGCAGGGACTGACACGACATATCAAGTAAACGGAAAACATTTTGTTTATGACGAGATTAAATACAAATGACATAAAAATGCCAAGTGATGAGAGTTCAAGTCAGTAGTAGGTCTAAGGAGGAAATATTCCATTTAAATCACTGATGAATCAATTGATAAAATGAATAATGTGCAAAGCACCACTTAAGCAAGGCTACGATTATGTAAGCCAACTTAATATCAAATATAAATACAGTGGGGAAAAAAAGTATTTAGTCAGCCACCAATTGTGCAAGTTCTTCCACTTAAAAAGATGAGAGAGGCCTGTAATTTTCATCATAGGTACACGTCAACTATGACAGACAAATTGAGAAAAAAAAATCCAGAAAATCACATTGTAGGATTTTTAATGAATTTATTTGCAAATTATGGTGGAAAATAAGTATTTGGTCACCTACAAACAAGCAAGATTTCTGGCTCTCACAGACCTGTAACTTCTTCTTTAAGAGGCTCCTCTGTCCTCCACTCGTTACCTGTATTAATGGCACCTGTTTGAACTTGTTATCAGTATAAAAGACACCTGTCCACAACCTCAAACAGTCACACTCCAAACTCCACTATGGCCAAGAGCAAAGAGCTGTCAAAGGACACCAGAAACAAAATTGTAGACCTGCACCAGGCTGGGAAGACTGAATCTGCAATAGGTAATCAGCTTGGTTTTAAGAAATCAACTGTGGGAGCAATTATTAGGAAATGGAAGACATACAAGACCACTGATAATCTCCCTCGATCTGGGGCTCCACGCAAGATCTCACCCCGTGGGGTCAAAATGATCACAAGAACGGTGAGCAAAAATCCCAGAACCACACAGGGGGACCTAGTGAATGACCTGCAGAGAGCTGGGACCAAAGTAACAAAGCCTACCATCAGTAACACACTACGCCGCCAGGGACTCAAATCCTGCAGTGCCAGACATGTCCCCCTGCTTAAGCCAGTACATGTCCAGGCCCGTCTGAAGTTTGCTAGAGTGCATTTGGATGATCCAGAAGAGGATTGGGAGAATGTCATATGGTCAGATGAAACCAAAATATAACTTTTTGGTAAAAACTCAACTCGTCGTGTTTGGAGGACAAAGAATGCTGAGTTGCATCCAAAGAACACCATACCTACTGTGAAGTATGGGGGTGGAAACATCATGCTTTGGGGCTGTTTTTCTGCAAAGGGACCAGGACGACTGATCCGTGTAAAGGAAAGAATGAATGGGGCCATGTATCGTGAGATTTTGAGTGAAAACCTCCTTCCATCAGCAAGGGCATTGAAGATGAAACGTGGCTGGGTCTTTCAGCATGACAATGATCCCAAACACACCGCCCGGGCAACGACGGAGTGGCTTCGTAAGAAGCATTTCAAGGTCCTGGAGTGGCCTAGCCAGTCTCCAGATCTCAACCCCATAGAAAATCTTTGGAGGGAGTTGAAAGTCTGTGTTGCCCAGCGACAGCCCCAAAACATCACTGCTCTAGAGGAGATCTGCATGGAGGAATGGGCCAAAATACCAGCAACAGTGTGTGAAAACCTTGTGAAGACTTACAGAAAATGTTTGACCTGTGTCATTGCCAACAAAGGGTATATAACAAAGTATTGAGAAACTTTTGTTATTGACCAAATACTTATTTTCCACCATAATTTGCAAATAAATTCATAAAAAATCCTACAATGTGATTTTCTGGATTTTTTTCCCTCATTTTGTCTGTCATAGTTGACGTGTACCTATGATGAAAATTACAGGCCTCTCTCATCTTTTTAAGTGGGAGAACTTGCACAATTGGTGGCTGACTAAATACTTTTTTTCCCCACTGTAACTAGCTTACAGACTTATGAAACCTGTGGTCTCTGATTATTATGCGATACCAATTTACGATTTCTGCGATGGATTGTCGGAGAGGCCGTTCGACGAGCTCTCGAGTTCACCTTAGTAGAGTCCACTCCTATGCAACCAAGTAGCTCTGAACAGCACAGCTGTAGATCATTGAACAGGAGTTCTCGGCACGACCATGGATGACGCTCCAGTGTTATATGGCGTTCCATACGTTGAGCCACTATCAACAGCATAGATTCTCCCTTGTCCCTGTAGAGGATAGCTAAATTGCAAAATAAAGTTTGACACAAGACATCATGTTATTTAGCAAACAGACATATTAAAGCGGCAATATGTAACTTTTTGGGCGACCCTACCAAATGCACATGGAAATGTGAGTAATATATCTGTTATTCTCATTGAAAGCAAGTCTAAGAAACGGTACATCTGTTCTATGTGCACTATTCCTATGCTTCCCGTTCTTAAGTTTAGTTTTTGCATCTTTTACTTTCGGTTTTGAACAACAGCTTCAAACAGCTGAAAATACAATATGTTTGGTTACTGAACAGATATTTCACTGGGGTTTAGATGGTACAATGATTGTCTACACATTGCTTGTTTTGTCACAAACTCAAATTTGGCGAACCATTCGAATTTGAGCAACCTGGAAATGGCGGAGACAAGACAACAAACATATTGTTTACCTGACAGGCCTAGTGGGTCTGAAAATGCCCTGGGGACTATGCGTAAACGTGCATTTACAATGCTCCATCCGTATCTAAGTGAATTAATTTATATTAACATGGAATGACGGCAGCATGATGGGGCAATCAAAATGCCGCCAGGGACATGCGATGCAGTGATGAGAAACTAAAATAGGTTACAGTGATACTTAAGTGGCAAGTAGTCTTAGTGGTTAAGAGCGTTGTGCCAGTAACCGAAAGGTCGCTGGTTCTAATCCACGTGCCGACTAGGTGAAAAATCTGTCGATGTGCCCTTGAGCAAGGCACTTAACCCTAATTGCTCCTGTAAGTCTCTCTGGATAAGAGCGTCTGCTAAATGACTAAAATGTCAAATGTAATGAACAGCGATACCGTGACGAGATCCTGAGGCCCATTGTCGTGCCATTAATCCGACGCCATCACCTCATGTTTCAGCATGATAATGCACAGCCCCATGTCGCAAGGATCTGTACACAATTCCTGAAAGCCGAAAATGTCCCAGTTCTTCCATGGCCTGCATACTCACCAGACATGTCACCCATTGAGCATGTTTGGGATGCTCTGGATCGACGTGTACGACAGCGTGTTCCAGTTCCCGACAATATCCAGCAACTTCGCAAAGCCATTGAAGAGGAGTGGGACAACATTCCACAGGCCACAATCAACAGCCGCATGAGGCAAATGGGACCAACAGATGCATATCTGTATTCCCAGCCATGTGAAACCCATAGATTAGGGCGTAATTAAGTTATTTAAATTGACTGATTTTCTTATATGAAATGTAACTCAGTAAAATCTTTGAAATTGTTACATGTTGCCTTTATATTTTTGTTCACTATATTATATATTCATTTAATACATTATTGTATTATTATATTATTATTGCTGTTGTTATGCTCTGTCTACAATTCTACAATTTTGTGTCATGGCTTGGTGTTGTTCCAGGGAGTGCAAGCGAACCCAGGGAGTTTCTACCACAGACCTGGTTGGTCGTATGCTCCTGATGACCAAAGCACACCACAGCAACATAGTGAGTATAGCAACCCCTCAAAGGCTACCATAGTGAGTATAGCAACACCTCATAGGCTACCATAGTGAGTATAGCAACACCTCATAGGCTACCATAGTGAGTATACCAACACCTCATAGGCTACCATAGTGAGTATAGCAACCCCTCATACAGTGGGGAAAAAAAGTATTTAGTCAGCCACCAATTGTGCAAGTTCTCCCACTTAAAAATATGAGAGAGGCCTGTAATTTTCATCATAGGTACACGTCAACTATGACAGACAAATTGAGATTTTTTTTCTCCAGAAAATCACATTGTAGGATTTTTAATGAATTTATTTGCAAATTATGGTGGAAAATAAGTATTTGGTCACCTACAAACAAGCAAGATTTCTGGCTCTCACAGACCTGTAACTTCTTCTTTAAGAGGCTCCTCTGTCCTCCACTCGTTACCTGTATTAATGGCACCTGTTTCAACTTGTTATCAGTATAAAAGACACCTGTCCACAACCTCAAACAGTCACACTCCAAACTCCACTATGGCCAAGACCAAAGAGCTGTCAAAGGACACCAGAAACAAAATTGTAGACCTGCACCAGGCTGGGAAGACTGAATCTGCAATAGGTAAGCAGCTTGGTTTGAAGAAATCAACTGTGGGAGCAATTATTAGGAAATGGAAGACATACAAGACCACTGATAATCTCCCTCGATCTGGGGCTCCACGCAAGATCTCACCCCATGGGGTCAAAATGATCAAAAGAACGGTGAGCAAAAATCCCAGAATCACACGGGGGGACCTAGTGAATGACCTGCAGAGAGCTGGGACCAAAGTAACAAAGCCTACCATCAGTAACACACTACGCTGCCAGGGACTCAAATCCTGCAGTGCAAGACATGTCCCCCTGCTTAAGCCAGTACATGTCCAGGCCCGTCTGAAGTTTGCTAGAGTGCATTTGGATGATCCAGAAGAGGATTGGGAGAATGTCATATGGTCAGATGAAACCAAAATAGAACTTTTTGGTAAAAACTCAACTCGTCGTGTTTGGAGGACAAAGAATGCTGAGTTGCATCCAAAGAACACCATACCTACTGTGAAGCATGGGGGTGGAAACATCATGCTTTGGGGCTGTTTTTCTGCAAAGGGACCAGGACGACTGATCCGTGTAAAGGAAAGAATGAATGGGGCCATGTATCGTGAGATTTTGAGTGAAAACCTCCTTCCATCAGCAAGGGCATTGAAGATGAAACGTGGCTGGGTCTTTCAGCATGACAATGATCCCAAACACACCGCCCGGGCAACGAAGGAGTGGCTTCGTAAGAAGCATTTCAAGGTCCTGGAGTGGCCTAGCCAGTCTCCAGATCTCAACCCCATAGAAAGTCTTTGGAGGGAGTTGAAAGTCTGTGTTGCCCAGTGACAGCCCCAAAACATCACTGCTCTAGAGGAGATCTGCATGGAGGAATGGGCCAAAATACCAGCAACAGTGTGTGAAAACCTTGTGAAGACTTACAGAAAACGTTTGACCTGTGTCATTGCCAACAAAGGGTATATAACAAAGTATTGAGAAACTTTTGTTATTGACCAAATACTTATTTTCCACCATAATTTGCAAATAAATTCATTAAAAATCCTACAATGTGATTTTCTGGATTTTTTTTTCTCATTTTGTCTGTCATAGTTGACGTGTACCTATGATGAAAATTACAGGCCTGTCTCATCTTTTTAAGTGGGAGAACTTGCACAATTGGTGGCTGACTAAATACTTTTTTCCCCCACTGTATATGTTACCATAGTGAGTATAGCAACACCTCATAGGCTACCATAGTGAGTATAGCAACCCCTCATTGGTTACCATAGTGAGTATAGCAACCCCTCATTGGTTACCATAGTGAGTATAGCAACCCCTCATAGGCTACCATAGTGAGTATAGAAACCCCTCATTAGTTACCATAGTGAGTATAGCAACCCCTCAAAGGCTACCATTGTGAGTATAGCAAACCCTTATAGGCTACAATAGGACCATGAGTTCTTCTTCCACTTCAGTTGAATTTCCACTTAGTCTCCTATTGACATCAATGCATCACTAAGTGAAAATGTAGAAGTTATGATTTGCTCCTATCTGTCATGTCTCTTAGCTCCTATTGTTACCGTTGAATAATAGATGAACTCATGCCTGTTTTCTCTCCTGTGTCCCCCTCAGGGCCATTCAGACTATCAACAGCACACAGACAACTTTGGGAAGGTAGGTCCCATGTCTACTCTCATACAAGTACAACTTTAAGAAATGTTTGGCTGGTGCCAAGTGATATCTTTAAAAATATCACTCTGTGATATGTACAGCTGTTTTTGATCATTTAAATGACGAACAGCCCTTTAAAAATCAGAGTGCACTTGACCATAGCAACCGCTTTGTAATGGTCTACTATGTGTCCAAATCCTGGGTAGACTCTTCTCTGACACAACTCCCCCCCCCCAACTCTCGCCAACTCTCTCTGAAACAAAGGGCGTTATTGTGGTGCCCAGTTGATAATCAAAACTGTGGGCCGGGCCAGTTGGTAATGACTACCACCTCTGTTCCCTCTGAATGCAGAAACTGACCAGAGGATCTACATTTTAACAACGTTTGGATTCTAAATGGGGGTGGGAAAGAGAATGGTACTTTAGAATGATCACCGTTACATAACAAGGGTTGTATTTTTCAAACGTTGAAAGAGAGAGAAAAATACATGTATTTGGCCAGTGTTGAATAAATGTGTTGGGGGGCTCTGACGGACATTGAGATATACCTCAGAGTGCCGACTGACTGGCTACTGGATGTCCAAGAAGAGGGATCTCAGATGGTGTTTTACTCATTTGGCCACTGGGTGGCGAAGTGTGATCATCTTCTCCTATGAGAAATTACCATAGTGAATATTGAATACCAACTTTGAATACCAAATGCTATAGGATTTGAATAAGTCAAGCTGCCACATACTGTGTGTGGTGTTCCCTTTCTGCCCAATGAACTCATTTATGGACAATACATTTGGCTCAAGAACTCCCTCAGAGGTTCCAGCTGTATTGCCTCTGAATGGAATATCATACAGCATCATCTATTACTCAGTGTAATGATATCATTCATTGCTGGCTTGGAATTAACATTTAGTCGTGGTTTGTCAAGTGTTACAATGTATTTATTTGTGCTCTTTGTGCATTATGGGTGTTGCAGGGTCCGAAGGGCCATAGTCCATGGACGGGAGTGTCCCAGTTCCTCCAGACATCCCAGAAGATCATCCAGTTTGCCTCAGGACAGGAGCCTCAGCCTGGGGACACCATCATCTATGTGGCTGGAGCCTTCGACCTCTTCCGTATCCTCTGTCTGGTGGCTCCATGAATGCACTACTTTCACTGTGTTTGATATCATTCCATTCATTGCATTCCAGCTTTTACTCCCTCCAGCAGCCTCCTCATATCTACCATGTCTATGGCCAGGAGCCTTTCCTGACCATGTCTATAATATGATGTGAGTTGATACAGGTAACTGCCAAAATAAAGGAAACACCAACATAAAGTGTCTTAATAGGGTGTTGGGCCACCACGAGCCAGAACAGCTTCAATGTGCCTTGGCATCCATTCTACAAGTGTCTGGAACTCTATTAGAGGGATGCGACACCATTCTTCCACAAGAAATTCCATCATTTGTTGTTTTGTTGATGGTGGTGGAAAACACTGTCTCAAGCGCCGATCCAGAATCTTCCATAAGTGTTAAATTGGGTTGAGATCTGGTGACTGAGACGGCCATCGCATATGGTTTACATCGTTTTCATGCTCATCAAACCATTCAGTGACCACTCGTGGAAATATACTTTGTATCCCTCATTTACTCAAGTGTTTCCTTTATTTTGGCAGTTACATGTACATAAGAATGGTTTGACTTGTAACTAAGGCCTTCTTTGACGGCTTTGAAGGCCCTGGTGGTAGGATACATCAATGTCAGGTGACTCTATACACTCATATCTACCATGTTAGGGCAAGGAGTTTTTATTTTCTGACCATGTGACTTGACCAAGAAAAACTGGGCCATAGAAAGACAAACACCCCTAATGCTACCTAGCTGCACTACAATTATGTGATTTAGATGTTCTATTTTTCTATAACTAGCTGGTCCTGTGGTCAGCTAAAACACCTGGGCCCAGTCATCTACAGTATGCGGAGAGGTTTGAGATTATAGACTGGGCTCAGAGGCCTAGTTCATAGATACTATAGTTGTTGTTGTTGCTGTTGTCAGCCTTGACCACTGTCTTCTCAGATATCGGCCATGTGGACTTCCTGGAGGCAGTTTCCAAGCTCTCAGACAAGCCATATGTTATAGTGGGGTTACACTTTGACCAGGTGAGTCAGACAAGCCATATGTTATAGTGGGGTTACACTTTGACCAGGTGAGTCAGACAAGCCATATGTTAAAGTGGGGTTACACTTTGACCAGGTGAGTCAGACAAGCCATATGTTATAGTGGGGTTACACTTTGACCAGGTGAGTCAGACAAGCCATATGTTATAGTGGGGTTACACTTTGACCAGGTGAGTCAGACAAGCCATATGTTATAGTGGGGTTACACTTTGACCAGGCGAGTCAGACAAGCCATATGTTAAAGTGGGGTTACACTTTGACCAGGTGAGTCAGACAAGCCATATGTTTATAGTGGGGTTACACTTTGACCGGTGAGTCCAGACAAGCCATAATGTTATAGTGGGGTTACACTTTGACCAGGTGAGTCAGACAAGCCATATGGTTATAGTGGGGTTACACTTTGACCAGGCGAGTCAGACAGCCAAATGTTAAAGTGGGTTACACTTTGACAGGTGAGTGCAGACAAGCCATATGTTAGTGGGTTACACTTTGACCAGGTTGAGTCAGACAAGCCATATGTTATAGTGGGGTTTACACTTTGACCAGTGAGTCAGACAACCATAGTTATAGTGGGGTTACACTTTGACCAGGTGAGTCAGACAAGCCATATGTTATATTGGGGTTACACTTTGACCAGGTGAGTCAGACAAGCCATATGTTATAGTGGGGTAACAATTAAGTACCTTACTGTAATAATTGTCCATTAAAATTGACAAAAATAGCTTTTTTAGCAAAAAACTATTTCTCAAGCAAGAATTTTGCAAGGACTGACTAGGAGTGATCTGAGTGGGGAGGGGAAACTTAAAACTAGCTGTTATTGGCAGAGAGGTTTGGAAATCTCTTTGTTATTGGTCTATTAACCAATTTACCGCCTGGTGATGTCACCAGCCAAGCCGAAACCCCCGCCCATGCAAACAGATTGTATTTTCAACCAGAAACTATCAGGAAATAACACTGATTTAAAAAATGGGCCTTTAATCTGAAAGCAGGTTATGGGCATTTCGGCTTTCAAAGGCAATGTTCCCACGTTCACGGTGATCCCATTCACGGTAAACGCTGCATATGTCGGCTTACTCTGAAATTGCCTTTAAAAACCGCAATGCCTGTAACCAACCCACAGTCAAATTAAGTCCTGGCCTTAATAGTGGAGATTTGCTTAATCTTATTCTTACTTTTGGATTTTGTGTGTATTTTTCAGGAGGTGAATCGCTACAAAGGGAAGAATTACCCAATCATGAATGTCCATGAGAGAACACTCAGTGTGCTGGCCTGTCGAGTAAGTTCGCTCTCCTCGTAACAGATACTGTACATCTCTTTCATAAAAGATACTGTACATCTCTTTCATAAAAGAGATACTGTACATCTCTTTCATATAGATACTGTACATCTCTTCATAAAAGAGATACTGTAGCATCTCTTTCATAATAGATACGGTACATCTTCTTCATAATAAGTACGGTACCATCCCTCTTTCATAAGAGATACTGTAATCTCTTTCCATAATAGATTACTGTAACATCTCTTTCATAAGAGATACTGTAGCACTCTTCATAATAGATACTGTACATCTCTTATTCATAATAGAATACCTGTACATCGCTTTCATAAAGAGATACTGTACCTTTAATAAGAGACTGTACATCTCTGTCATAAGAGATACGGGTACATCTCTTTCATAATTAGATACTGTACATCTCTTTCATAAGAGATACTGTAACATCTCTTTTTATAAGAGATACTGTAACATCTCTTTATAAGAGATACTGTACATCTCCTTTCATAGAGATACTGTACATCTCGTTTCAAAGAGATACTGTACATCTCTTTCATAAGAGATACTGTACACCTTTAAAGAGATACTGTAGCATCTCGTTCATAAGAGATTACGGTAACCAATCTCTTTCAATAAGAGATACTGTACATCTCTTTTCATAATAGATACTGTACATCTCTTTCATAAGAGATACTGTACATCTCTTTTATAAGAGATACTGTACATCTCTTTCATAAGATATACTGTACATCTCTTTCATAAGAGATACTGTACATCTCTTTCATAAGAGATACTGTACATCTCTTTCATAAGAGATACTGTACATCTCTTTTATAAGAGATACTGTACATCTCTTTCATAAGAGATACTGTACATCTCTTTCATAAGAGATACTGTACATCTCTTTCATAAGAGATACTGTACATCTCTTCATAAGAGTACTGTACATCTCTTTCATAAGAGATACTGTACATCTCTTTCATAAGAGATACTGTACATCTCTTTCATAAGAGATACTGTACATCTCTTTCATAAGAGATACTGTACATCTCTTTCATAAGAGATACTGTACATCTCTTTCAAAAGAGATACTGTACATCTCTTTTATAAGAGTCGTTTTGTAAATAGTGTGTATGCAGGTCTCCCTTGTGAAAGAGACCTTGGTCTCAATGGGACTCCCAGTTAAAGTAAAATAATGAGCAGAAGTGATGAGTGGATGAATCTAACATGTTCTGTTCTGTCGCTGTCTGCAGTATGTCTCTGAGGTGGTGATCGGTGCGCCCTATGCAGTCACAAGAGACTTACTGGACCACTTCAAGGTAAGGGCTCAAGACACTACACTTGTTCTGCAGAGCCATTTGAACCAGGCTGAGCATGCTAACGTTTGTGGACACTCCATTGGTAACTATCTACAGTGGGTTAGTGTTAGGTCTCACCCTGCATGGTATCTACAGTGGGTTAGTGTTGGGTCTCACCCTGCATGGTATCTACAGTGGGTTAGTGTTGGGTCTCACCCTGCATGGTATCTACAGTGGGTTAGTGTTGGGTCTCACCCTGCATGGTATCTACAGTGGGTTAGTGTTGGGTCTCACCCTGCATGGTATCTACAGTGGGTTAGTGTTGAGTCTCACCCTACATGGTCCACCTACAGTGGGTTAGTTTGGATCTCACCCTGCATATTATCTACAGTGGGTTAGTGTTGGTCTCACCCTACACGATCCATCTACAGTGGGTTAGTGTTGGTCTCACCCTGCATATTATCTACAGTGGGTTAGTGTTGGGTCTCACCCTACATGATCCATCTACAGTGGGTTAGTGTTGGGTCTCATCCTGCATGGTATCTACAGTGGGTTAGTGTTGGGTCTCATCCTGCATGGTCTGCCTCTGCAGGTGGACCTTGTGTGTCATGGGAAGACAGAGGTGCATCCTGACAAAGACGGGTCTGACCCCTATGCCGTAAGTACCCTGCGTAGTTTTCTGACACATAACTCTCTGTTACTAAAAAACAATGTGCTGGTGCACTCCAATTGATAAAAAAACTATAAGGCCATGGGGACTTGGTATAAGGTGCTCTTTGAAAGGGAAGTCTATGACTGGTAGAAAACCAAAGGGGATAATGGCCATCACTTATTTTTTATTTTTTATTTTTTTATTTAACCTTTATTTAACCAGGTAAGCCAGTTGAGAACAAGTTCTCATTTACAACTGCGACCTGGCCAAGATAAAGCAAAGCAGTGCGATAAAAACAACAACACAGAGTTACATATGGAATAAACAAAACGTACAGTTAATAACGCAATAGAAAATCTATATACAGTGTGTGCAAATGTAGTACGTTATGGAGGTAAGACAATAAATAGGCCATAGTGCAAAATAATTACAATTAGGATTAACACTGGAATGATACAGTGAGGGAAAAAAGTATTTGATCCCCTGCTGATTTTGTACGTTTTCCCACTGACAAAGACATGATCCGTCTATAATTTTAATTGTAGGTTTATTTGAACAGTGAGAGACAGAATAACAACAACAAAATCTAAAAAAATGCATGTCAAAAATGTTATACATTGATTTGCATTTTAATGAGGGAAATAAGTAATTGACCCCTCTGCAAAACATGATTTAGTACTTGGTGGCAAAACCCTTGTTGGCAATCACAGAGGTCAGACGTTTCTTGTAGTTGGCCACCAGGTTTGCACACATCTCAGGAGAGATTTTGTCCAACTCTTCTTTGCAGATCTTCTCCAAGTCATTAAGGTTTCGAGGCTGACGTTTGGCAACTCGAACCTTCAGCTCCCTCCACAGATTTTCTATGGGATTAAGGTCTGGAGACTGGCTAGGCCACTCCAGGACCTTAATGTGCCTCTTCTTGAGCCACTCCTTTGTTGCCTTGGCCGTGAGTTTTGGGTCATTGTCATGCTGGAATACCCATCCACGACCCATTTTCAATGCCCTGGCTGAGGGAAGGAGGATCTCACCCAAGATATGACGGTACATGGCCCCGTCCATCGTCCCTTTGATGCAGTGAAGTTGTCCTGTCCCCTTAGCAGAAAAACACCCCCAAAGCATAATGTTTCCACCTCCATGTTTGACGGTGGGGATGGTGTTTTTGGGGTCATAGGCAGCATTCCTCCTCCTCCAAACACAGCGAGTTGAGTTGATGCCAAAGAGCTCGATTTTGGTCTCATCTGACCACAACACTTTCACCCAGTTCTCCTCTGAATCATTCAGATGTTCATTGGCAAACTTCAGACGGGCCTGTATATGTGCTTTCTTGAGCAGGGGGACCTTGCGGGCGCTGCAGGATTTCAGTCCTTCACGGCGTAGTGTGTTACCAATTGTTTTCTTGCTGACTATGTTCCCAGCTGCCTTGAGATCATTGACAAGATCCTCCAGTGTAGTTCTGGGCTGTTTCCTCACCGTTCTCATGATTATTGCAACTCCACGAGGTGAGATCTTGCATGGAGCCCCAGGCCGAGGGAGATTGACAGTTATTTTGTGTTTCTTCCATTTGCGAATAATCGCACCAACTGTTGTCACCTTCTCACCAAGCTGCTTGGCGATGGTCTTGTAGCCCATTCCAGCGTTGTGTAGGTCTACAATCTTGTCCCTGACATCCTTGGAGAGCTCTTTGGTCATGGCCATGGTGGAGAGTTTGGAATCTGATTGATTGATTGCTTCTGTGGACAGATGTATTTTATACAGGTAACAAGCTGTGATTAGGAGCACTCCCTTTAAGAGTGTGCTCCTAATCTCAGCTCGTTACCTGTATAAAATAAACCTGGGAGCCTGAAATCTTTCTGATTGAGAGGGGGTCAAATACTTATTTCCCTCATTAAAATGCAAATCAATTTATAACATTTTTTACATGCGTTTTTCTCGACTTTTTTTTGTTATTCTGTCTCTCACTGTTCAAATGAACCTACCATTAAGATTATAGACTGATCATTTCTTTGTCAGTGGGCAAACGTACAAAATCAGCAGGGGATCAAATACTTTTTACCCTCACTGTAGATGTGCAAGAGATGTGCAAATAGAGATACTGGGGTGCAAATGAGCAAAATAAATAACAATATGGGGATGAGGTAGTTGGGTGAGCTAATTTCAGATGGGCTGTGTACAGGTGCAGTGATCGGTAAGGTGCTCTGACAACTGATGCTTAAAGTAAGTGAGGGAGATAAGAGTCTCCAGCTTCAGAGATTTTTGCAATTCGTTCCAGTCATTGGCAGCAGAGAACTCGAAGGAATGGCGGCCAAAGGAGGTGTTAGTTAACTTAGTTAACGAAATTTTTTTTAAAATTAATCGTGGGGCTTACTTTTCCCATCAAGGCAATCTCGCAGAAAAACAGAGGGATGAACTTATTAATTTAAAAAGTATTTGTTACTTGGTTACATAGTGGTTACAATGAATTTGGAAGACTAATATAATATACAGTATAATATGTAATAATATATGCCATTTAGCAAACACTTTTATCCAAAGCGTGCAATGTCTAAGTGAATGTTTAAGTGTGGACTGTGTTTCTCTAAATGCAGCAGCCCAGGAGGAAAGGAATACTGCACACTGTGGACAGTATGAACAGCCTCACCACTGATGACATTGTTCAGAGGATCATCAAAAACAGGTAAGGGCAGGAAGAAGTGAGACAACCTGGTATGTCCTGTAGCCAGCTAGAGAGATTAGAGAACTGAAATATCTCTGTAGTTTCAATGATGCTAAGGTCATGTCATCATGATAATATCGCTGTAGTTTCAATGACGCTAAGGTCACGTCATCATGATAATATCTCTGTAGTTTCAATGATGCTAAGGTCACGTCATCATGATAATATCTCTGTAGTTTCAATGATGCTAAGGTCACGTCATCATGATAATATCTCTGTAGTTTAAATGATGCTAAGGTCACGTCATCATGATAATATCTATGTAGTTTCAATGATGCCAAGGTCACGTCATCATGATAATATCTCTGTAGTTTCAATGATGCTAAGGTCACGTCATCATGATAATATCTCTGTAGTTTCAATGATGCTAAGGTCACGTCATCATGATAAAATCTCTGTAGTTTCAATGATGCTAAGGTCACGTCATCATGATAATATCTCTGTAGTTTCAATGATGCTAAGGTCACGTCATCATGATAAAATCTCTGTAGCTTCAATGATGCTAAGGTCACGTCATCATGATAATATTGGGGAAAAGTCAAGAAAGTCACATACTATATTACTCCCAGTAACCTTTCTCTACTTTGTAAGTGTATGAACCATTTGTCTGAACCTGCACAGCGTTTTGGGTGTGCGTCTTCAGCTCCCACTTTAGATATAATAATAATGTATGCCATTTAGCAGAATCTTTATCCAAAGCGACTTACAGTCATGCGTGCATAAATGTTACGTACAGGTGGTCCCAGGAATCGAACCCATTATCCTGGCGTTGCAAGAATCACGCTCTACCAAGACATTAAAATTATACTATACTCGAAATCACAGAAGTGTAAATATGCCATGCTTTACTATGATGGTTTTAACTAATAGCCCTCTGCATACTATTGAAACCTCCCCTCTGTGTCCCCTGTGATGCAGGCTGCTGTTCGAGGCCAGGAACCAGAAGAAAGAGGCCAAAGAGATGGCTATGATCCAGGCCATGAAGAGGCGAGAGGAGGAGAAGAGCAAGGAGAGAGCCCAGGCTGTGCTGTAGGACGACAGGCCCGAAGGAGCACTCCCAACACCGAGGAACCATTGCCCACCCACAGGGTCAATCTGAGACTGACTAAACCCAATACATCTAACCCCCACCACCAATGCAGCACAGTCAACCCACCTCCCCTGTGTTCCAAACTCCCAACCAACACCCTCCAGGTCACACACTGTCCTTACCAACAGCCGGCCCCGACAGACAGCATGCCTTTGTTTACAACATGCAGTATTCTTACAATGGGAGTTCTGTTGTAGGTTCGACATGGTAATGTGTTAGGTGAGGATGTTTTCTTTGTCTTAATACAGGATGTATGCATTTACATGTCCTTTATTTCTTATGGTTTGACGGACCACCCAAACAGTATAGATCTCTCACTATCTACCCTTCCCTCACTGAGTTATAACCAGACAAGGAACCAGAAGGCCCAACATAATCACTGAGTTATAACCAGACAAGGAACCAGAAGGCCCAACATAGTCACTGAGTTATAACCAGACAAGGAACCAGAAGGCCCAACATAGTCACTGAGTTATAACCAGACAAGGAACCAGAAGGCCCAACATAGTCACTGAGTTATAACCAGACAAGGAACCAGAAGGCCCAACAAAGTTACTGAGTTATAACCAGACAAGGAACCAGAAGGCCCAACAAAGTCACTGAGTTATAACCAGACAAGGAACCAGAAGGCCCAACAAAGTCACTGAGTTATAACCAGACAAGGAACCAGAAGGCCCAACATAGTCAGTTATAACCAGCCAGACAGGGAACCAGAAGTCCCAGCCTAGACTTGTGGAACCAGACAGGTGTGTCTCTAAATAAGTCTGGCTGCGTAAGTTAAGGCCAGACTAATATTTGTTTTCCAAGTAATTCTCATACCGGAAGTTATTTTTCTTGTGGTTGATTGACCTTTATAAAACAGGAGAATTATTCATTATTCATTTATGGGCATTTTTTCGACTCAGTGAGTCGGACAGGGGAACCGAGAGGCTAGTGGTTAGGTTGAGGTCTGTCGGCCGAGGCTTGGGCTTGTTGCTTTGGTGACCCATCAAACCACCTCTGCTGCTCCTCGCACAGCGATTATTGAGCAGCCAACAGTTTGGATGCGTCCGAAATGGCACCCTTTTCCCTATATAGTGCACTATTTTTGACAAGGGCCCGATGGTCAACAGTAATGCACTATATAGGGAATAGGGTGCCATTTTGAATGCAGCCGTTGTCATTCTCCAAGGGACTGTTGCTGCTGTCGTCGTGGCAATGGGCTGATCCACTCACAACTTACAGTCCTATCTAATCTATCTCTGTATATATGTACTGTATGTATGTATTATAAATGAATATTAACCAGGAGAGCTCTCTGGAAGATGTTGAAACCACTAGAGGTGTTCAGGGATGGGTTTGAAAATGTACCATCTCTGTGAGAGCATTCTATTGGTCGATTTTACCTTGGGAAAAGATGAGGTCATTAATGATTCAAAAATGTTTTGTGGGATAATCATCAATTGAAAGCTTTCTTCTATCAGAGACTACCCTCAGCTTTCGGCCAGTTTTAATCAGCTTCTAGTGGAGAAACAGTATTGAATATTACACTTAGAAAAAAGGGTTCCAAAAGGCTTCTTCGGCTGTCCACATAGGAGAACCCTTTTTGGTTCCAAGTAAAACCCTTTTTGGTTCCATTTTGGATCCAGGTAGAACCATTTTGGGTTCCATGTAGAACCCTCTGTGGAAAGGGTTGTAAATGGAACCCAAAAAGGTTTTACCTGGAACCAAAAAGGTTCTACCTGGAACCAAAAAGCGTTCTTCAAAAGGATTCTCCTATGGGGACAGCTGAAGAACCCTTTTAGGTTCTATATAGCACCTTTTGTGTAGATGGGCCAACCTATGGGACCTCATGTAGATAATACTACCAGCACGTACTGACTGCAAAGCCTTGGGAACTGTTTTATGTTATAGAATGAATCTATTATATAGATAGAACGGTTATCCACTACTCCAAATGCAAACTATTATTCCAGGACCCATTGCCCAACTTTCGACCGCACTTCTTGTTTTAGCCACAGCAGGTCACTCTTCCTCTTTAAAAGACACTACTTATCCTTGCACATTCTGGTAGAGCACTGTACTGAGTTTTAACAAGATGCTTTTAATGGCAAATTATTTTAAACGATAGGAGATTATGAAATATGTACGGTGCTGTTAACTTAGATAAACTAATGACCTTATACTGTCATATGATCAAAAGTCTTAAGTAAACCTCTGGAGAAGTAATCACAATTTCAAAACTTTAATCGGATTAAATACTATATTTTTCATAAATGTATATTTTTCAGTCAGATCACCTCATATGTTTCAAAAGCATATAAAACATTGTCTGTCTGTAAAGTTGGAATATATTCAATGTACTGTATAGGCTACAGCGTTATCATATGTATGGTATTGACAACTCTGATCTCCTAAATGACAAATGCTGTGGAATTTGGTACAGTATATTATCATTGTCAATAATAACAATTCCATCTGAAAAACTGTGTTGGTCATCTTGAGTTTGTTTCCCTCTTTTAAAAAGGATTTGACTAATAGAAAGTGTGTTAGGGCGATAATGTTTGCTGCCTAGTTGTTCTTAAAGGATCAATTTACAACAAAAAATATATATATTTAGTATTTTGTCAATTAGACCATGCATGTCAGCAGTTAAGGTCTCTATTCAATCCGTATCGCGGATATTCAGTGTTACAGCGTGGTTGAAGTTTAAAAGCAATGTTCCCGCGTTAGCAGATACTGCATTCAAGGTAAAAGCTGCATATGTCGGCTCAATCGGAAATTACCTTTGAATTTCTATCACACAATCTGTAATGCTTCTGCAATACAGATTGAATAGAGCCCTACAATTTTTAAGATAGAGAACTTTAGCTAAAATTCTAAGAGTGTTATGATGGTGTGATTTGCATGATCACACTTTTCGTTTTTTACTAAAAGTGCTCTATCTTGACAACTTAGGGTCTTGCACCATATCTACAGTGGACTAATGAGCAAAATACTTGAAGATGATTTGAGTAAAGTGATCCTTATAGGCAAAGGCATTATAACGGTAATCATCATCATTCATTAAAGAGTATGATGTCACGTGTTGGACGGATAAGTGGACCTTTGATCAGCCTAAATGAGGGTCAAATTGCATCTATCAATCACTTCACACTGAGAAGTCGGGAAATGTCAGTTCATTACTTTTACCATTTTTTATTAGCCCGAGCCTAATTAGTGTGCAGTGTATTGTAAGGGATCGGGGGTTGGCTGGGTCTAGACAGAGTCTGACACTTCCCCGATCTACAGAGAGGGGGAGTCATTAGACTCGATCTGGTTCACCTGAGTTCTGAGCGACACCTGTCAGTAATTAGTGTAGGATTTAAGGTGTGCTCAGAAGCTCAGTCGGTGCGAGGTATTGTTCCATTGTGACTTGCTAAGCGTTTTTGTTCAGAGAGAAGAGAGAGAGAGGAGAGAGAGAGAGAGAGGAGAGGAGAGAGAGAGGATAGAGAGAGGAGAGAGAAAGCTCATTCCTCATACAGAAAAGTTAGATATTGAATATATAGTGGAGAATTAACACTTTCTATGAAGTAGGTCTATTATATATATGGCTTTATATTATAATATCCTTTATAATGTGTTATGACACTGATTATACACTGACTGTAAAAAACATTAGGAACACCTTCCTAATATCGAGTTGCACCCCCTTTTGCCCTCAGAACAGCCTCAATTTGTCGGGGCATGGACTCTACAAGGTGTTGAAAGCGTTCCACAGGGATGCTGGCCCATGTTGACTCCAATGCTTCCCATAGTTGTGTCAAGTTGGCTGGATGTCCTTTGGGTGGTGGACCATTCTTGATACACACAGAAAACATGAGCGTGAAAAACCCAGCAGCGTTGCAGTTCTTGACACACTCAAACTGGTGCGACTGGCACCTACTACCATACCACGTTCAAAGGCACTTAAATATTTTGTCTTGCCCATTCACCCTCTGAATGGCACACATACACAATCCATGTCTCAATTGTCTCAAGCTTACAAATCCTTCTTTAACCTGTCTCCTCCCCTTCATCTACACTGATTGAAGTGGATTTAACAAGTGACATCAATAAGGGATCATTGCTTTCACCTGGATTCACCTGGTCAGTCTATGTCATGGAAAGAGCAGGTGTTCCTAATGTTTTGTACACTCAGTGTAAGCATCTATAATAACTCATAAGTGGTGATAAAACTCTGTATGATGTTTTATTTATCATTAACTATAATGAGTTATAAGGCTATAATGCATAATGTATTATTAACAGCCATACTTGATTGGAAACACAGACAATATAGTTATTACACACATTAGGCCTTGATATACCGTAGCAATCTTGCTATATGAGCCACTTTACAATTCCCACCAAGTGAGTTAACCCTATTGGCGCAATGCATAGGGTGTTTGCCTTTCACGCCAGCGACTCGTGTTCACTTTCCTGCCCCGCTGTTCGCTACACTGGTGTCAGAAGTGGGATGGCGGCTGTGAGGCCATCGGAGCTCACGGGCCTGGACATGTGAGGGGGCTGAGTAGTTCGGAGGGGGAAGTGTAGTGATCCTCGCTATATGAGCCAGGTTACAAGTCACACCAAGTGGTTCTATTGGTGCAATGTGTCGAGTGTTTGCCTTTACACCTTGATTACACCTACAGTGTCATTGCGCAAAATGGTACCCAGCATCATCTGGATATGTGTGCAACAAAAGTTCAACATTCACCTTCTGCTACCATTTCTGTCAAGTCTACGCATACAATTTCATGCATACTTTCGATAAATCCAATGTATGCACCACACAGAGCGCACTGCAAGGCAATCGCAGAGTTCCATTGGAAATTAATGTACTTCTGGTGTACCAAAACACAATGATTCTGTCCATGTGATCAAGGCGTCACAGCGGAAATCAGCAGTTAATTAAAACAATAACAAAGCATAATCAAATCAAATTTTATTTGTCACATACACGTGTTTAGCAGATGTTATAGCGGGTGTAGCAAAATGCTTGTGCTTCTAGCTTCGACAGTGCAGTAATATCTAACAAGTAATATCTAACAATTTCACAACATATACCCAATATACACAAAACTAGTAAGGAATGGGATTTAAGAATACATACATTCATGGACAAGCAATGACAGAGCGCCATGGATTAAGATACAGTAGAATATTATAGAATAGAATACAGTATATACATATGAGATGAGTAGTGCAAGATATGTAAACATTATTGAAGTGACTAGTGTTCCATTTCTTAAAGTGGCCAGTGATTTCAATAGGCAGCAGCAGCCTCTAATGTGCTAGTGATGGCTATTTAACAGTCTGATGGCCTTGAGATAGAAGCTGTTTTTCATTCTCTCGGTCCCAGCTTTGATGCACCTGTACTGACCTCGCTTCTGGATGATAGCGGGGTGAACAGGCAGTGGCTCGGGTGGTTGATGTCCTTGATGACCTTTTTGGCCTTCCTGTGACATCGGGTGCTGTTTGTGTCTTGGAGGGCGGGTAGTTTGCCCCCGGTAATGTGTTCGGCAGACCGCACCACCCTCTGGAGAGCCCTGCGGTTGCGGGCGGTGCAGTTGCCGTACCAGGCGGTGATACAGCCCGACAGGATGCTCTCAATTGTGCATCTGTAAAAGTTTGTGAGGGTTTTAGGTGCTAAGACCAAATTTCTTCAGCCTCCTGAGGTTGAAGAGGCTCTGTTGCGCCTTCTTCACCACACTGTCTGCGTGGGTGGACCATTTCAGTTTGTCGGTGATGTGTACGCCAAGGAACTTGAAGCTTTCCACCTTCTCCACTGCGGTCCCGTCGATGTGGATAGGGGGGTGCACCCTCTGCTGTTTCCTGAAGTCCACGATCATCTCCTTTGTTTTGTTGATGTTGAGTGAGAGGTTATTTTCCTGGCACCATACTCCCCGCCCCTGTTTTCGGTAAAATGTTGAGGGATGGGGCTGGAGAAATGTAACCACTCTCAAATTCATAGACAGAGCTATGGATGCAAGGACTGACCATCCAAAATAATAGTTTTAACCATGTTTTGAGGCTATATAGTGTGTGTTTACATTTACTTTGTTTACAAACATTGGAGTAAATCAAGAATATATTTTGGGTTCTGATGGGGTAAGACAGTTGAACTAAGCTCATGGGGCATTTATATGTTATATTCTTCATTAATCAATGGGTACATATCATTAATTTATAAGTCCAAAAATAGATGTAGCAACTACTGATTGCCCCTTTAACGCCAGCGACCCAGGGTTCGCTACCCTGCACCGCGTTTGCTAATACTCTATATTATAACAAAAACTCCTAATGTATTATAAAGCACTATGCATGTGTATCTGTTTAAATAAAGCCATCAACTTAGTTATAGAACACTGTAATAGGTATTTGTAGGCTTTAATTAAGTTTCGCGCCCGTGATTGATATCTTCATGAAATGAGCAGGGCTCTCTCCATTAATAAAGCACAGGTGTTTTGTGTTTGGTCACCTCCCATGTGGAACTCTAAACTGCAAGTTTAGCTGCAAGATTGGACCACGGAGTAGTATAGCCTATATAAATTCCTTGGACATATTCCCTGTTCTTTAGGCTTACCTCATTTCTCTTTTAGCTTTATCTCGTGTTGAATTTTCAGCCCCGGTTTGTTGCAAACGTTGCGCTCTATGCGGTAGGCTACCTCAAAGATGTTCCGCTTTTTCAATATTCTGCCAGCCCCCCTGCAGGTATCTCCAAATCTTGTCTTTGTTTGTGTTAATGTGTACACCTAATTTGTTTTTCAATACATTTTAAAACAAGTACACGTCTCCGGACGGTCGTTATGCGACATCGTAACAGAAAATGTATTCGACTAAAGTTGACTTTTCAAACCTAGATGTGCATGAGATCAATTTGCATTCACCCGGTCTCCGACGTTACTGAGGAGGAAAAAAGGGCGAAAACTCTAAAATAGAAAGCGATTTGTTCGAACAAGCCAAGCTTGAGGTGAACGTGGTCAAAATATTGCTGCTTGGTACGTTTTGAGTGCGTGCGGTGTGTCCATGTGTCTGTTGCAACAACCTGGTCTCAGATCATTTCGAATTATTCTGTATCTAAATCCGAGAGACTTTAGTACATGATACCTTTTGGTATGGTTACATAAGACCGATGGTTACTTAAGGCAAATATGAAAGGAGTTTTGGTGGGTGGGTATAATGCGAATTTATAGAAACCCAAAGGTTGCTAGATTGAATCTCATCACGATAGCTACTCTGCAACTACTTAGCAAGTTAGCTAACCCTTCCCAGTGGTGGAAAGTACTTAAGAAAAAATATACATTTCGAATGCTTAGCAGAACAGGAATACAGATATGCATCTGTTGGTCACAGATAGCTTAAGGTAGAGGGCTTGGATCAGAAAACCAGTCAGTTTCTGGTGTGACCACCATTTGCCTCATGCAGTACGACATCTCCTTCGCATAGAGTTGATCAGGCTGTTGATTGTCGAATGTTGTCCCACTCCTCTTCAATGGCTGTGTGAAGTTGCTGGATATTGGTGGGAACTTGAACACGCTGTCGATCCAGAGCATCCCAAACATGCTCAATGGGTGACATGTCTGGTGAGTATGCAGGCCATGGAAGAACTGGGAAATGTTCCGCTTCCAGGAATTGTGTAAAGATCCTTGCGACATGGGGCTGTGCAGTATCACGTTGAAACATGAGGTGATGGTGGCGGATGAATGGCACGACAATGGGCCTCAGGATCTCGTCACGGTATCTCTTCGTATTCAAATTGCCATCGATAAAATGCAATCGTGTTCATTGTCCGTAGCTTATGCCTGCCCATACCATAACCCCACCACCACCATCGGGGCACTCTGTTCCCAACATTGACATCAGCAAACCACTCGCCCACACAACGCTATACACACTGTCTGCCATCTGCCCGGTACAGTTGAAACTGGGATTAATCCGTGAAGGGTATACTTATCCAGCGTGCCAGTGGTCATCGAAGGTGAGCATTTGCCCACTGAAGTCGGTTACGATGCCAAACTGCAGTCAGGTCAAGACCCCGGTGAGGACAATGAGCATGCATATGAGCTTCCCTGAGACAGTTTCTGACAGTATGCAGAAATGTGTTGGTTGTGCAAACCCACAGTTGAATCAGCTGTCCGGGTGGCTGGTCTCAGACAATCCCGCAGGTGAAGAAGCTGGACATGGAGGTCCTGGCCTGGCGTGGTTACACGTGGTCTGCGGTTGGGAGGCCGGTTGTACGTACTGCCAAATTCTAAAACAACGTTGGAGGCGGTTTATGGTAGAGAAATGAACATTACATTTTCTGGCAAAAGTTCTGGTGGACATTTCTGCAGTCAGCATGCCAATTGCATGCTCCCTCAACTTGAGACATCTGTGGCATTGTGTTGTGTGATACAACTGCACATTTTAGAGTGGCCTTTTATTGTCCCCAGCACAAGGTGCACCTGTGTAATGATCATGCTGTTTAATCAGCTTCTTGATATGCCACACCTGTCACGTGGACGGATAATCTTGGCAAAGGAGAAACGCTTACTAACAGGGATGTAAACAAATGTGTGCACAAAATTTGAGAGAAGTAAGCTTTTTGTGAATATGGGAAAATTCTGGGATCTTTTACTTCAGCCCATGAAACATGGGACCAACACTTTTTACATGTTGCGTTTATATTTTTGTTCAGTATAGTTAGCCTAATTTCAGTTTTTGACAAAATAAGCTAGTATAGTGTTGTGAATCATTGAACCATCTAAACCGCTGTGAAATATATTTTCCATAACCAACATTTTTTATTTTAGCTGTTCGAAGTTTGGTGTACAAAACGAAAGTAAAAGACGCAAAAACAAAACTTAAGAATGGGAAGCATAGAAATAGCGCACATAGAACAGATCTACCGCTTCTTAGACTTGCGTTCAAGTAGAATAATAGATCTAAAACTCACGTTTTTTATGTGATTTTGGTCGGGTCACCCAAAAAGTTACATATTGAAACTTTTAAGTATATTTGAGCAATTACATTTACTTTTGATACTTAAGTATATTTAAAACCAAATACTTTAAGACTTTTACTCAAGTACTGTTTTACTGGGTGACTTTCACTTTTACTTGAGTCATTTTCTGTTAAGGTGTCTTATTACTTTTACTCAAGTATGACAATTGGGTACTTTTTCCACCACTGACCCTAACCTTAACCATTTTAGCTACCCCTTCGCCTAACCCTAACCTTAACCCTTCCCCTTTAACCTAACTCCTAAACTTAACCCTAACCTTATAATGCAAACGGTTGCTAAATCGAGTCTCATTATGGACAATTTTAGCTAATTAGCAACTTTTGAACTACGTGCTACTTTGCAACTACTAGCATGTTAGCTAACCCTTCCCCCTAACCTTAACCCTTTTAGCTAACCCTTCCCCTAACCTTAACCCTTTAACCTAACTCCTAAACTTAACTCTAACCCCTAGCCTAACTAACATTAGCGTGCTAGCTAACGTTAGCCAACTAGCTAGAATTTGTAACATATATGTTTTGCAGATTCGTAATATATTGAATGTTTTACAAATTCGTAACATATAATAGAAATTGTAATTCGTAACATATCATATGAAATGGGTGATAGACATCCACAAATGAACACATACCATACGAAACATAACATATCATACTTAATCCAGTGTCTCGGATTTTATGTACAGAAAAATACGAAATGCTCTGAGACCAGGTTGGTTGCAAATCACAAATATGGCCAACCATGTCACTGCAGAATATATTGAATGTATTTATTTTTATGTGATCATCTAAGTTAGCATTAGACTGCTCAGATGTGATAACTACTTTGTTCCAGGTGCTGCAGAGAGTGGTAAGAGTACCATGGTCAAGCAGATGAAGGTAATCCACAGTCATGGCTTCTCCAAACCAGAGTTTATTAGCTTCAAGGTACTGTACACTTTATCCTCCTTGGCAGGGATTCTAGAATGTGTTGTGGTATTTGTTTTTTTCTTTAAAGGGTACTTTGTTGAAGCTTTGTTACACTACTTTCTCACTATTCTAAAGAACCCAGACAGGTCCATAGCAGACAGGTCCATAGCCTGTTATGTTGTTGGCTTAATGATGTTTCAACAGTCACAATACCATGATCAATGCATACTGCCCTCTGTAGTAATAGGGACCTTGGGTTTAACACAACAGGATTGTATACAAGGTATGTAGGCTATATATACAGTATCTATGAAAACATTATTGAAGCTCTAGGGCAATCAAAACATGCTTGTTAAGACTAGTATAACAAACACAACTTTATTCCCAAATGGGAAATGTGTGTGTGTGTGTGTGTACGTGCCTTCGGAAAGTATTCAGACCGCTTGACTTTTTCCACATTTTGTTACGTTACAGCCTTATTCTAAAATGGATTACATTGGTTTTTTTTCTTCATCAATCTAAACAAAATACCCCATAATGACAAAGCAAAAATAGTTTTTAGAAATATTTGTTAATTTATAAAAAATAAAAAACTGAAATCACATTTACGTAAGTATTCAGACCCTTTACTCAGTACTTTGTTGAAGCACCTTTGGCAGCGATTACAGCATTGAGTCTTCTTGGGTATGATGCTACAACCTTGGCACACCTGTATTTGGGGAGTTTCTCCCATTCTTCTCTGCAGATCCTCTCAAGCTCTGTCAGGTTGGATGGGGAGCGTTGCTGCAGAGCTATTTTCATGTCTCTCCAGAGATGTTCAATCGGGTTCAAGTCCGGACTCTGGCTGGGCCACTCAAGGACATTCTACAATAGTAAAAAATAAAGAAACACCCTGTAATGAGTAGGTGTGTTCAAACTTTTGACTGGTACTGTATGTAAATAAGGTATTTCAGTTTTTTTATTATTTATACATTTGCTAAAATGTCTAAACCTGTTTTCACTTTGTCATTATTGGGTATTGTGTGTATGTAAAAAAATAAATAATCCAATTTAGAATAAGGCTGTAACAAAATGTGGAAAATGCCAAGGGGTCTGAATACTTTCCCAAGGCACTGTATGTAGGCCTACATGTGTTTATAAGGATGAGCAGACGGGCCTATTAAGTGTATGAGGAAATTCCATGTCATGGATCTGGAATGAGAACAGCTTCCCTTGACTAGCTTGTGATGGAGGTAATCCCTCTGTTTCCATGTTTTCCTTCATCTCATGCTGTGGCTATCTGGGCTGTAGCAGGGAGGTTTTCCTTCATCGCCTACTGTAGCAGGGAGGGTGTACACCCCTAATTCCCTCTTGTTTAACCATGTTGCAAAAACAAGCGCCATGGGAAGGGGAAAAAAATTAATGATTGACGTAAAGGATGGAATTAATTAACAGACCCACCACAAATGAGAACATGGAAATGCTCTTTGATTAATATGCTTCCATTCTGTAAGGAAATGCTCTTACTGATGCTTAATCGAATAACTCTACTTGGGAGTTTAGGGAGGGAGTTTTTGCATCTGGATGTATGGTGCTGGGGTTTTGGGAAGGCGATTCTACATGGAGGTAGAAGAGCATTGGTTTGGTGTGGGTAATGGTAGCTATATAATGCTAGGTATACTATTCAAACCATACAAGTATGTATTTTTTTATTTTTTTTACTGTGTATCGCCCTTGGCTAGGGGTCTGTATAGGAGGGTGACACGTTATTGAAAATTTTACGTAGAACAGGCATGAATGTCTGTCTGGTAGAATAGGAAATAATTTAAATGATTGTTCTATCTGCAGTGTTGTGAAGAATAGCCCAGTCCCAGTGCCCAATAGTCACCCCTCTTTCTCGCTCACCATCCAAAGTACTTGAACTGAAAAACCCTCCATGAGTGATTCCATCAGACTACTGAACTTTCTTGATTAGCTAACATGTTTATTGATTTACTTTGTTTTCTTGATGTATTCACACTTCAGATTGTAGCTGCCATGTATGCTGAAATAAAACTCCAACTCCCTCCCTCCACAGGCTGCAGTGCTGGATAACCTCCTGACCTCCATGAAGTTTGTGCTGCGCGGCATGGGACTGCTGTGGATTAATCTGGCCAACAAGAAGAACAAGGTGAGGGAGAAGAAGAGCTAGTAGCTAGTCTTGGAAAATCATCCCATGTGGAGCTACTTACTGACCACCTTGTTAGTGCCTTTTGATTTGACCATTTAAAATACGTAGTTACACCAGGCAACAGATACGTGAACCACAACTATTCCCCATTTTACACGTTGACCTAACAGGATCATACAGTGTAACTAGTCAGCCCAGTTTTAGACATATACAGTGGGGAGAACAAGTATTTGATACACTTCCAATTTTGCAGGTTTTCCTACTTACAAAGCATGTAGAGGTCTGCAATTTTTATCATAGGTACACTTCAACTGTGAGAGACGGAATCTAAAAAAAAATCCAGAAAATCACATTGTATGATTTTTAAGTAATTCATTTGCATTTTATTGCATGACATAAGTATTGATACATCAGAAAAGCAGAACTTAATATTGGTACAGAAACCTTTGTTTGCAATTACAGATTCATACGTTTCCTGTAGGTCTTGACCAGGTTTGCACACACTGCAGCAGGGATTTTGACCCATCCTCTCATAACATACCTTCTCCAGATCCTTCAGGGTTTCGGGGCTGTCGCTGGGCAATACGGACTTTCAGCTCCCTCCAAAGATTTTCTATTGGGTTCAGGTCTGGAGACTGGCTAGGCCACTCCAGGACCTTGAGATGCTTCTTACGGAGCCACTCCTTAGTTGCCCTTACTGTGTGTTTCGGGTCGTTGTCATGCTGGAAGACCCATCCACGACCCATCTTCAATGCTCTTACTGAGGGAAGGAGGTTGTTGGCCAAGATCTCGTTATACATGGCCCCATCCATCCTCCCCTCAATACGGTGCAGTCGTCCTGTCCCCTTTGCAGAAAAGCATCCCCAAAGAATGATGTTTCCACCTCCATGCTTCACGGTTGGGATGGTGTTCTTGGGGTTGTACTCATCCTTCTTCCTCCAAACACGGCGAGTGGAGTTTAGACCAAAACGCTATATTTTTGTCTCATCAGACCACATGACCTTCTCCCATTCCTCCTCTGGATCATCCAGATGGTAATTGGCAAACTTCAGACGGGTCTGGACATGCGCTGGCTTGAGCAGGGGGACCTTGCGTACGCTGCAGGATTTTAATCCATGACGGCGTAGTGTGTTACTAATGGTTTTCTTTGAGACTGTGGTCCCAGCTCTCTTCAGGTCATTGAACAGGTCCTGCCGTGTAGTTCTGGGCTGATCCCTCACCTTCCTCATGATCATTGATGCCCCGCGAGGTGAGATCTTGCATGGAGCCCCAGACCGAGGGTGATTGACCGTCATCTTGAACTTCTTCCATTTTCTAATAATTGCGCCAACAGTTGTTGCCTTCTCACCAAGCTGCTTGTCTATTGTCCTGTAGCCCATCCCAGCCTTGTGCAGGTCTACAATTTTATCCCTGATGTCCTTACACAGCTCTCTGGTCTTGGCCATTATGGAGAGGTTGGAGTCTGTTTGAGTGTGTGGACAGGTAACGAGTTCAAACGTGCAGTTAATACAGGTAATGAGTGGAGAACATGAGGGCTTCTTAAAGGAAAAACTAACAGGTCTGTGAGAGCCGGAATTCTTACTGGTTGGTAGGTGATCAAAAACGTATGTCATGCAATAAAATGCAAATTAATTACTTAAAAATCATACAATGTGATTTTCTGGATTTTTGTTTTAGATTCCGTCTCTCACAGTTGAAGTGTACCTATGATAAAATTACAGACCTCTACATGCTTTGTAAGTAGGAAAACCTGCAAAATCGGCAGTGTATCAAATACTTGTTCTCCCCACTGTATCTCTGCCCTTGGCCAGTGTCCTCTTCTTGAAACTTTAGTGCTCAGATGTCAGTCTTGCTCTGGTATTCTCCTAGCTACATCCCTAACACGATCACAAGTGATTTCTCGAAGTTTAAAGGCCTCTTTGCCTGACGCATCTTTCTTGACCTCACTGATAATGACAAATGGGCACAGGGACTGGCATTTATCTTCTACATCTGTCCCATTATGATTTAGCTGGGTTGTTCATTAGGCACCAAATGGAAGAAAACAGACTGAGACAGGGAGGGACTACCTGGACTAGTCCAATAAGAAACACACATTTTTACATAGCAAAACTTAAATAAATAAAAAAGCATGCGTTTTTAATTCTCTAAAGACCACAACCCGAGACAGGACATTTTCATTATATTCCCTGGAGTATTGGTGATCATTAAGCCCTCTGCCTGTTGTCCCCATGCAGGCCCATGCCCGCTCTGTGCTGTCCTGTGGCCAGTGTTTTGGGGAGGACGGGGAGCTGCTGCCGTTTGTGGCCCTGTCTTTCTGTGCTCTCTGGGCCGACCAGGGTGTGAGAGCTGCAGCCGCCAGGGGCTACGAGTTCCAACTCAACGACTCTGCGCTCTAGTGAGTACCTTACATGTAGTGTTGTCACCATACTCCGTATCACAGTACTCTGAAGTATTATCATGGCAAGGAAACAACATATGGAGCGCAAGGTAGCGGCAGTGTTTCTCATCTTTTTCACTGTCACTCGCATCCTATAATTTAAGGTATAGCAGAAAGCATTTGACAAAAAGCAGGTTCTTAAAGGCCCATAGAGTTTAATAATCTGCCTCGTGGCTTCTTTTCTTCTTTGCCATGGAAAATCAAGAATCGTGCTACTGGGATTGTGACGCATGTTCTATCTGCACTGTCCCACCTCATCCAGACTGACTATGCCGTGTGGATCCTCCCAGGTTCTACAAGGGAAGCCTTTGCTTACTTCCTCGTCGATACACACATAATGGGATTGTAGCTAAAAATACATCCGTCACAGGAAATGATTATCCTGACATTTTGCTGAATTGACATTTTTAATTGGTCCTTCATTATAATGTAATGCCTGCGGAATATCTTTGTAAACGTGGTGGTTGGTTCAAAAAGGACATGAAGAAAGGGCATGCAAATTAAGTTTGAAATGCTTGTCTGATGTGTGACTAGTGTATCTTGGGTAGTGAGCAAGTGAGGGGACGATAACAGGGGATTGTGTGCATACTACGTAGTACATACATATACATACTACTACTTACAGAGGTGGGTTGTGACTGGGATAATTGGTTAGAAGACTTCTGACTGTCTGCGTTATGAGCTAGGTAGCGACCATGTGTCCTGCGTCACAGCAATTCCGCTTTACTTTACCCACCACCTGGGGGGCTGTTGTTGGTAAGGTGGCATTAGAGGGCATGTATGGAGGTTTGTTGGTAAGGTGGCATCAGAGGGCATGTATGGAGGTTTGTTGGTAAGGTGGCATCAGACTGTTAGAGGGCTATGTATGGGTTTGTAAGCCAGAGGGGGTGGTGATGGATCCACATGTATTGCAATGTTACCCAGCTCCAATTTAATCTGCACCAGTTTGTGCCCGATTTGACCTCTTTGAAGATACTCCTGTATATTCGACTCACTTATTTAGATGGGTACTTAAACACCATGGCGTCATTCTCTGTAGTTGGAGGTGTGCATGCGTTTTACATGTTCTTAAAACAGACCCCTGCCCTGAACTGAGGTCATGATCAGAATGGTAATTTTTGTATTGTTCTGGTGTCATAGACACACGTCATCTCCTGTGGGGGTTGATCAGCTGTGTTTCTAAGCATGTGATATGATGGGACATCGCACCACGTCCTTGGTGAGCGATGCAATTAGGCGCTTCATGTGAAGCGTGGTGGGTTTTTACGACACTTTGTTTCAAGTGTCCTCAAATCCCAATTTAGGGCCTCTTTATGCCTTGTTTTCAGGGACATTTACATTTGCTCAATAGGGTGTTTTTCCAGTGATCAAGTAAAGTGTGGATTATGATGTAGGTTTGGGTTAACGGAGGTAGCATTCTGCTCCGCTCTCTTTAGTTATGTTTCACAATGATTTCATGAGTTTGTTTGATGGAAAAATAGTTTTTTTTACCCTTATTTTACCAGGTAAATTGACTGAGAATATTCTCATTTACAGCAACGACCTGGGGAATAGTAACATGGGAGAGGAGGGGGGATGAATGAGCCAATTGGAAGCTGGGGATGATTAGGTGGCCATGCTAGAATGAGTGCCAGATTGGGAATTTAGCCGGGACACTGGGGTTAACACTCCTATTCTTAACGATAAGTGCCATGGGAATATTTAGTGAAGACAAAGTCAGGACACCTGTTTAATGTCCCATCTGAAAGACGGAACCCTACTCAGTGCAATATTCCCAATCACTGCCCTGGGGCATTGGGATCTTTTTTAACCAGAGGAAAGAGTGCCTCCTACTGGCCCTGCAACATCACTTCCAGCAGCATCTGGTCTCTTAGCCCAATAATGGACTAAAGCAGCCTAACGTTACTCCTTAGTCCAAGGACCTTACATGTTCTGTTTAAAGGGTGAATTGGCTCTGGAAGCCAAAAACGCCAAATACTCCATCTAAACGTGAATTGATTTTCAATTGCGGTACAGTTCTAGAAACATAAATCCCTCTACCTTCAAATTTACATTTAAGTCATTTAGCAGACGCTCTTATCCAGAGCGACTTACAGAAGCAATTAGGGTTAAGTGCCTTGCTCAAGGGCACATCGACAGATTTTTCACTTAGTCGGCTGGGGGATTAGAACCAGCGACCTTTCGGTTACTGGCACAACGCTCTTAACCACTAAGCTACCTGCCGCCCTATTTCACATCAAAATAATTTCACACATGCTAAATACACACTGTTTTTCAGAGACAACACGTTTGTGGCATCTGTCTTCCGTTTACAAACAGGAGGTCGGAGACGCAGATAGCTAATTAGCACAGGTAGTCCACTCTGTCTTCCTTCTGTTTTCCGTAAACAAGCGCTGTAAGGTGGAAATATGGCCATGTGGGAACCCTAACCCTATAAAGGTGTGTATCAATTTAACCTTTTGATTTTGGAAAATTATTTATCGCCGATATGAACGATAAGTTCCTTATGCTTCCAAAACCGTACCGCAAGCGATGTGTTAATGTTCAGACCGTGCGTCACGGATCTTAATAAAACTCTAACCTTCAGAAGACTCCTTCATTCAATGACTCTTATGTGTAATGTAATGGAACTGAGTCATGATCAAGGGCTACTGGTCTCCCATTCAGGGACCAACCCTGCTTAGCTTCAGAGGCAAGCCAGCAGTGGAATGCAGGGTTGTATGCTGCGCGCACACACACAGTGTACAAAACATTAGGAACACCTTCCTAATATTGAGTTGCACCCCCTTTTGCCCTCAGAACAGCCTCAATTAGTCGGGTCATGGACTCTACAAGGTGTCGAAAGCGTTCCGCAGGAATGCTGACCCATGTTGACTCCAATGCTTCCCACAGTTGTGTCAAGTTGGCTGGATGTCCTTTGGGTGGTGGACCATTCTTGATACACGGGAAACTGTTGAGTGTGAAAAACCCAGTAGTGTTGCAGTTCTTGACGCACTCAAACCGTTGCACCTGGCACCTACTACCATACCCTGTTCAAAGGCACTTAAATATTCACCCTTTGAATGGCACACATACACAATCCTTCTCTCAATTGTCTCAAGGCTTAAAAATCCTTCTTTAACTTGTCTCCTCCCCTACATCTACACTGATTGAAGTGGATTTAACAAGTGACATCAATAAGGGATCATAGCTTTCACCTGGTCAGTCTATGCCATGGAAAGGGCATGTGTTTTTAAATGTTTTGTGAGAGAGAAAGAGAGTATGCTCTTATCAGTGAAACAACAGGTGCCGGGTTCTGTCGTGAGGTGTTAAGTATCTTCCCGGACTAAGGAAAGACCAGTCCACCATGACGCTTCATTTTCGGGACTCATTATAGTGTCTCCTACTCTGGCTGAGAGCGGGAGTTGTGATGTGACATTAAGGATTACCTCCTTCTTCCCAGCTCTCTACCTCTCTCCTCCCGTTCTCTACCTCTTCCTCCCGTTCTCTCCCACTGTCCTCTCTCCTCCCGTCCACCTGTCAATAAAGTGTCTTTGTCTGCATCTGAAATGGCACCCTACTCCCTTTATAGTGCAGCACTTTCGATCAGAGCCCTGTAGGCACTAGGGTTTAGGGTGCCATTTCAAACACCCTTGATATGACTAAGGATTACCTCTGTCCCAGTTCTCTCCCCTGTCTCTGTCCTCTGTCCCAGTTCTCTCCCCTGTCTCTGTCCTCTGTCCCAGTTCTCTCCCCTGTCTCTGTCCTCTGTCTCTGTTAGACCACCTGTTCTAATTGATCTCTTCCACATGAATTGGCAGATCAGTCGTGACACACTTTGACTTTCTCTGAATTTTAAGGGAGAGTGAAGGGAGGAAATGACCATAAAAAAAATAAAAAATAAAGAATGCCAAGAGGTGTTTGTCATTAACTGAACCCGTGTTGCTCTTTTTACATGGACTCGAAGGCTCTGTCAAGTTTTTTTCCTCGTCTTCTCTCCTCTGCCGATCACTGATCTGGCAGGTCATTTCAGGTGAAAGCAATATAATGGAAACCTTTCCTGTCATTTCACCCATCGGTGGTGATGAGGAGAGGAAGCCATTTTAGATTATTGAGACAGGAAAGGGAGTGAGGCGAGGAAGCCATTTTAGAGTATTGAGACTGTGCAAGGGGCTATTCAGTAAACTGACAACTTACATGTAAAAGAGACAACTGTCTTTTCATACAGACTTGTTTCTTTTGTTACAGAAATGACAGTTGACTCAGACCTGCTCCTGACCTGTAGTTCTTTACTATTCCACTGGGTTTTTAGAGGACGCTGAGGAACTGGAACTGTTGGCTTCTGTAAACACTGCTAACCCAAGCTGAAAATAACTCTGCTTGTACAGTCCATCCCCATCACTTTGAAGCTCTGCTTCCAAACTCACGATCCTCCAAGACAGCAGCCCAGCAGAGGATAGCAGGGGGTGCGGGTGTCATGACCGTACCCAGGCTTGGTGTCCTCTTTGAGGGTGCCAGGTTGGATCAACCCCCCGCTGCAGCGGAGTCTGCCTGGAGCTCCCGCCCCTGTAGCCTGGGCCTCTGTGGCCCACTGAGATGCCACTATGGCCTGCCGGACAGCGGACAGTTTGGGCTTCATGGCCGCCAGACCTGGGTTTGAAATTGTATTTATTTTCTTTTGAATACTTTAGCTGCGCTTAATTGAACTTGACTGGCACAATGGAACCAATGGAATAGCCCCCATCCATCCGGCACGCTCCAGGCCAGGTTCATTCAAACGCTCACTGTATTTGAATGGAAACTAATACTATTTGAACCCAGGACCTGTTGGCCGCAACTCAAAATCACCAGCCATGTAGGGAGTGCTGCATTCTGTGAGGGTGTGAGGGCTGAAGGAATGGAGGGAGGGGCTGGAGGGGGTGGATGTGCACCCTTGGTGGCTGACACGAAGAGACTGGACCGGAATGTCACGGATGCTTGGCTCGGGGAGGTGTAGAGTGCAGCGTGGGTAGGAAGGTGGTTGGCGGGAAGCCTCGCAGTCGCACCCTGTAGGTATCAGTTTACCGCCCTTCGTGCCGTTCTCTACTGCGCCAGCTTGTGTGTGTTGCTCTGTGATCAAAAGGTCAGCTCCAATATGTCTCATGCTATTCCTCCCCACTTATATCAACTCTGCTCATTTGGCCTTTCCCTTCTAATGGTTGTCTGTACCTTTTTATTGTGACTTGTTGTTTTGATGTGTTCTAATGATGAGTTTTCTCTCTTATGGAAAGGACATTGCTTTTAGAGCTCGGCTGAAACAGTCAGTCTATGGTAATACAGTTCTACCATTATACCTTCTGAGTATTCCAGCAAAAAGCTTGCGTTTATAATGATGGCTCATGAACCTGATTTGCATACGATGAGTAAAGGCCTCGGAGGTGTGTTGACACGGAACATGCTTCATAATTGCAAATTCTAGAGCCTTGGCATTTCCTTAAGGCTTGTTGCGTTTTAACACCATCCACAGTTTTGGATGTTGTTTTTGACAATCCCTCCTTTCTCATCACTATGGACATCTTTTGACTCAAGTCCCCGTGGAGCCTACGGATTAAGGGAGTTTTCTATGAACACGTTCAACACAAAGCATCTCACGGAATACCTTTAGTGTGGACGTTTGTCTGTTCAAATAGATTAGACTGCTGGTCCTCTGGTGGTGGAACCCACCTAGCTAGCAACTGAGTGGACTGTCCTCTGATCTCACTACCAAATGACTGCTTAATGTAGTTCTGTCTCTCTTCTGTCTCTCTCTCTGTACAAGTTACTCATTAAACTGCCTCAGAGACCTCATACAACTCATCATATATATATATATATATATATATATATATATATATATATATAAAACATTTTTATCAACATTGCCCGATATGTTCTTCAGTTAAACCATTTACACAAAGTCTTAAAGCTGATTGTTTCCTTTGACTGCCTTTCCCAGTTTCTTTGAGAACATAAGTCGGATCATCGCTCCCAAATACATTCCCACTGAGGTGGACGTACTGCGGGTGAGAGTGCGAACCTCCGGAATCATCGAGACTCGGTTTCCAGTCAATCACATGGTATTCAGGTAAGGAAGGGTTTTCACTGGTTCTATCTCGTGAGAATTGCTTTGTGTCTAAACCAGTCCATAATTAGTCTACCCACCAATCGTGTCCAATACATTAATCTTGCTTTCTAAATGTTATTTTCCAAATGTTCTTCTTTAAAAAAAATGATGTACACCTCCATTGAGTGTAACTAACGACTCTGTTAGAATGACGCCCTCTGTCATAAGACAATGACACCCATTGATACCTTCAGAAAATATTCTGCGTGATCATACATTCTCAGTTCAGTCTCATAGTGTTATTTCAGTAGGCATGTGGGTGGTGGTGTGAATGGGTTTGTGGTATGACTGTTTAGAGAGGGTAGGCGTCATACTGACCACACTACATGATTACAGGCGATGGGGTGGTATTTCAAACAATTTTCTGCTTGCCAACTTCCTCTGGTGATCGTCGTCATCTTATGGTTCCTTGAGTATGACCATTTTCAAATGAGCTTTATTCTGAATGTCCATGGAGCTTCATCTCAAACCAATACAATAAAAATACATGTTCAAAACAATCTTCTGTATCGACTCATTCTAGTAAACTGTTGTAGTATGAAGACAATTTCCCCTCATCGCTTCATGCATGTGTATAATAAGCCTCTGTATAAGTCTGGTGTTTCAGCTGTGAGTGATTGTAAAAGAAATGGCTTCAGACAAGTTGTCACAGTTTGTCTCTGGTCTCCTGATGCACAGAGCAGAAACTGTGCAAGAAGATTGTCCGTGAATCACTATCACGTCATAAGAGAATGTAATGTATTCTAACAGATGGCAACCACTTTCCCAACATGCTGTTTTCCAGAGGCTTGAATTCATAAATGCAAGCGTACCCAGACGTGCTTCAGCCCAGCATGAATACAATAAAAAAACATAATAATTACAGTAGGGCACGTCATATTGTGACTATATCAGAAAAAGAAAAGGAGTACTCGGATGTCTACCATGATTTTAAAATGTACTACAGGGGAAAACAGAAACAATTACGTTTCGGCTTGTCAGACACCTTCCTCAGAGCCTTGAATTCGCCTTTGTTCTTTTTTGGCTTGCCTTGCTGTGACGTGGAGGGGTGGGTGAAACTTAGTGAATCATGCCTCAGCCATATCACTTTGTTCCCACAATGTGATGCCATGGACAAAGGGCACAATGTTGCATAAATGATTTAAGGCATTTCTGTAAGCAATTGGTAATATTCTAGTTTATATAGTGCTAATAGGGTTTTGTGTTTCTATGGAATCATTAAATATTGAGGAAAGTTTTGCCCCTTGGTTTAATTTGTTCAATAATGAAATGTATGAGTTTAAATCAAATCCCCTTACATCTGCATGACATTTCTTGTAATCTCCATGCAATATACTTTAAATGCCTATAATTTCACAGTGAAATGTTTTGCTGTCTCATTCAATTGGCCTTATTGAATAATGAATGTGGCCAAATGTTTCAAATGTGAATAATAGCCAGGGGGTGCCAAACTATGTGGGTGGCGAAGGTGGAGTTTGCCATTGTATTGAGTACTGTAGGGGCGGGGGCGGTGAATGTTGTTCCCCGCTTGCAAAATGAGTGCGCCCATTGAAACAACAATTGTTTTTAAATGTGGGGATGGATTTGGGCAGCTCCAAAGTTCCATCTATGAACTTGAGTGGTTACATTTCTCCAGCTCTATCCTTCAGCTTTATAGGAAACCAAGCGCCAGGGCTTCTGTTCGACTGAAAAACAAATGTAGTGTTTCAGTGTAGTAAACAGTTGAGTAGGCCTTCTGATGATCAGAATCATTTGTTTGACTGCACTTTTCCCAAAGTGTCTTGGTACAAAGAAAGAGCATGCTGATCTCCAGGGTGGGAGGGGGTTGAGTTATGAACCGGCCTACCCTGGTGATTGCGCTACTCTCTGGGCTCTGATGTCCCATGGTGGCCCTGTCTGGCCCTTCTCACGACTTAGCGAGGGGTGCCTAAGGAGTGCTAGCAGACATCCCCTCACAGCTGAAAGGTTGAGACGGCATACTGAGGAATGAATCAGACCTATGAGATATTGATGTCTCTCTCTCTCCTGCGCTCGCTCTCTCTGCGCTTCTATGAGAGAAGGAATAGCAACAGAGGTTTCCTCCTAATGGCCACTTTAAATCCCCTCCACCCCTTTCTCTCCTTGCTGATTCTCCTTGTGCTCCAGCTTTCTGAACACGTCACATCATCATGCTTCAGCTCCACTCTTGTGCTGTCGACGTAGAACAATGATCAATGACACTACCAGGTATTAGAAGTGGATACAGTTGGGTGTAAAACGAAACTTCAGCAACGTTAAATGTCAACTAAATGTTTTTCTCATCACGACAAGCAACACTTTTATGAACGCGCATCAGCGACCCAGTCATGTAGCGGTCTTGTAATGGTTACAAAAATACTCTACCTCAATGACCGTAATCTCAGGGATCGCTGCTGTAGCCTGGTAGTCCAGTAAATAGCTAACTCCTCTCTGTGTTGCATGTTTGTTATGTAGCCTGGTAGTCAGGTAAGTAGCTAACTCCTTTCTGTTGTGTGTTCATTCATTGTATGACATGACTCCTACGGAAGAGTTGTATGCAGTATGGGACCAGGCTAACCTTGCTCTGCCCGGTTTTAAAACTAAATGTGACCCCAAAGACAAACTGCTTAATTGTCTATGACAAGGGTAGTGTAATCACACTCCTGGTGACCGTTCGATGCAGATTGGGCACTGTATCATAATGACCTGTGTCACCAAGACCCTGAGCTTTACAGGGATTCAACATTGAATACTAGTTTTCAGTTAATATTTTAAAAAAAATACTCACCATGCTCTACTCCTACTGTGTGTGCTTTAGACAATTCTCAGAAGAGTTGTTTGCTACAGCACATACAATAAGGGACCAGACTACTACTTTACCCATCTTGTTGTTAATCCCTAGAGATTGGAGTACAGTAGGCCTATTCCTGAGCTCCTGTGTTTGCTTGTGGTGCTCAGTGTAATATACACTGAACAATTAATAGAAACGCAACATGTAAAGTGTTGGTCCCATGTTTCAGGAGCTGAAATAAAAGATGCCAGAAATGTTCCATATGCACAAAAAGCTTATTTCTCAAATTGTGTACACATTTGTTTACATCCCTGTTAGTGAGTGTTTCTCCTTTGTCAAGATAATCCATCCACCTGACAGGTGTGGCATATCAAGAAGCTGATTAAACAGCATGATCATTACACAGGCACACCTTGTGCTGGGGACAAAAGGCCACTCTAAAATGTGCAGTTTTGTCACACAACACAATGCCACAGATGTCTCAAGTTTGAGGGAGCGTGCTTTTGGCATGCTGACTGCAGGACTGTCCACCCAGAGCTGTTGCCAGATAATTTAATGTTCATTTCTCTACCATAAGCCGCCTCCAACATCGTTTTAGAGAATTTGGCAGTGCGTCCAACTGGCCTCACAACCGCAGGCCAAGTGTATGGCGTCATGTGGGTGAGCTGTTTGCTGATGTCAACGTTGTGAACAGTGCCCCATGGTGGCGGTGGGTTTATGGTATGGGCAGGCATAAGCTACGGACGGCGAACACAATTGCATTTTATCGATGGCAAGTCCCAAGACGGAACTGGAGTTGGAGTGGAGAATCACATTGATTTTGGAACTCTCATTTCCCTTGTGCCTGACACCTTGTGTGGATAGAAGGACAAATCAATGAAATGTGGAAGTTGGAAACATTTGTGATGGGTGGTTCTGGAGCTTTTACGTTTATTTTTCCAGTCAATTCTGTTCAACATTCTGGACTATTTTCATGCGTTTGAATGGATAACTAAGTTCTTTAGCTTCATTTGATGTTAATCACATTTCAAGGTGACACAATATAATTACTGAAATTGAAGTTCTGTTAACAGGGACATGAAATCAATTTTGTTTTCCTTGTCATGTTGCATCTGGACACTGCTGCCAATAACTCTCTCCACAAGTGACTGTTCCACCTGTCAGATCTTCTTAAGCTTTACATTGGTAATATGAAGTTTGTCTCTGTCCATCTTTCATACACTATTTATGGCATTTTGTTTCAGGGTGCTTTCAACCTTCTCAACCTCAAACTTACAATGATATCCCCTGTGGAGTGTGATGTAGATCATATTTACAAGTCTTTGGAAATTAAATGATTGACACCAGAAGCTGTAGCCTGTGTTACTTCATTCTGTCACCTCATGTCTGTGTCTAAGTTGTGAATAAAGTTCTCTGTCGGTCTCTGGCCGTCTGCCTACCTACAGGATGTATGATGTTGGTGGCCAGCGGACCAAGAGGAGGAAGTGGCTCAGCTACTTTGACTGTGTCCGGGCCGTGCTGATTTGTTGTGGCGCTCAGTGGCTACGACATGACCCTGATGGAGGACCGCTCTATGGTAATAGATAGTATATGCCAGTTAGCAGAAGGTATGGGAGTTGGAGCTGTTCTTCAGTCTCAGCTTAGATTAAAAGGTAGAGGGGGATGTTGTGTACACTACAATGCCTTCTCTACATCAGAACAATGTAACAAACCAGTAGAAAGGCCTAAAGCTCTGTATGGTACCATACATATTTGAACTAGACTTGAAATCAAAATATTTGATGTTTTATCTGACATTGTGAAACTTTGTTTTGTTCTTTTGATGTCCAGTATCATTTATTTTCTTTCCTCTCTCTCTCGCTCTCCCCCCCCCCTTCTATCTCTGTCTCGCTCTCTCTGTTCATATCCCTCTCTCCCTGCTCTCTCTCTGTTCTCTCTCTTTCTCCCTCAGAACCGGCTACAAGAGAGCCTTGAACTCTTTACATCCATCTGCACCAACACAGTTTTCAGAAGTACCTCATTGGTAAGTTTTTACATGGAGATTGTCTGACAACGCCTAAACTAATTTCTGCCGCATCGTCCTCCCAAATGATTTCCTTTCCCAAACATTAATGTCAACCCTAAGTAAAACCATTACACACTTAACCAAGATTACAAATGACTTTGTCCACCTCAGTGACCGTTTCTCCTCTGGCCACTTCCAGTTACCCATGTTCAGCTGCAGGTAGAAGTTGCCCTTAATGACAGATCTAGGATCAGAATGTAGATTAGCCTACCACCCAATCCTAACCTTATTTCCTCCATTATGGGGAGGAAATAATATCTGTCCCTGGATCAGTGGTTTTAGAGGAAACGCCTACCTTTATTCCAATGGCACGTGTTTGATGTCGGGGCTGTCTATGCGTTGTGGCAGAGCCCAGGGCCACGTTCAGGCATATCACATATTGAGCTGACGTGATGCCTTATTCTACACGTCTGTCTGTTCTACATGATCCTTCTGAACTTTCCACAACATTCAAACAGGTCGCCATCGCATCATGGTGTTTTATTAATTGACTTAGCTGTATGAATAAAGGTTAAATAAAACCACGACGCTGTGACCTGCTGAGGGAAGCCCAGTGGATTAAAGCCCACTGAGTCCTCAGAGTGCCTCCTGCTAACCACCTCTGCCCAGCCAGCCGCAGGCGGCACAACTACCTCTAATTGCCTCAGACACAGGCAATTGCCACACAAGGGGCATAATTGAGGTAATCTCAGTTCAGCGCCAAGGCCGGAGGAACTGTTTATAAAAAGCGTGTAACGAGCTTGTTTAATTTGTCTCGTTTAGACTGTAAAAGGTTGTAAAAGACGTTTAGACTGTGGATGTGTGAGTCATCGTCGGTTTTTGGTCGAGGGTGTAGTTTTCTGACAGTCGTTAGTTACACTGAACAAAAATATAAACGCAACATGTAAAGTGTTGATCCCATGTTTTATGAGCTGAAATAAAAGGTCCATATGCACAAAAAGCTTATTTTGCTCAAATTGTGTGCACAAATTTGATTTACATCCCTGTTAGTGAGCATTTCTCCTTTGCCAAGATAATCCATCCACCTGACAGGTGTGAAATATCAAGAAGCTGATTAAACAGCATGATAATTACACAGGTGCACCTTGTGCTGGGGACAATAAAAGGCTACTCTAAAATGTGCAGTTTTGTCACACAACACAATGCCACAGAGGTCTCAAGTTTTGAGGGAGTGTGCAATTGGCATGCTGACTGCAGGAATGTCCACCAGAGCTGTTGCCAGAGAATTGAATGTTCATTTCTCTACCATAAACCGCCTCCAACATCGTTTTAGAGAATTTGGCAGTACGTCCAAATGGCCTCACAACCGCAGACCACGTGTGGTCGAGCGGTTTGCTGATGTCAACGTTGTGAACAGCATGCCCCATAGTGGCGGTGGGGTTATGGTATGGGCAGGCATAAGCTACGGACAACGAACACAATTGTGTTTTATCAATGGCAATTTCAATGCACAGAGATACCGTGACGCGATCCCGAGGCCCATTGTCGTGCCATTCATCTGCCACCGTCGCCTCACGTTTCAGCATGATAATGCACGGCCCCATGTTGCAAGGGTCTGTACACTATTCCTGGAAGCTGAAAATGGCACTGTTCTTCCAAGTTCTGCATACTCACAGTGGGGAGAACAAGTATTTGATACACTGCCGATTTTGCAGGTTTTCCTACTTACAAAGCATGTAGAGGTCTGTAATTTTTATCATAGGTACACTTCAACTGTGAGAGACGGAATCTAAAACAAAAATCCAGAAAATCACGTATGATTTTTAAGTAATTAATTTGCATTTTATTGCATGACATAAGTATTTGATCAGAAAAGCAGAAATTAATATTTGGTACAGAAACCTTTGTTTGCAATTACAGAGATCATACGTTTCCTGTAGGTCTTGACCAGGTTTGCACACACTGCAGCAGGGATTTTGGCCCACTCCTCCATACAGACCTTCTCCAGATCCTTCAGGTTTCGGGGCTGTCGCTGGGCAATACGGACTTTCAGCTCCCTCCAAAGATTTTCTATTGGGTTCAGGTCTGGAGACTGGCTAGGCCACTCCAGGACCTTGAGATGCTTCTTACGGAGCCATTCCTTAGTTGCCCTGGCTGTGTGTTTTTGGGTCGTTGTCATGCTGGAAGACCCAGCCACGACCCATCTTCAATGCTCTTACTGAGGGAAGGAGGTTGTTGGCCAAGATCTCGCGATACATGGCCCCATCCATCCTCCCCTCAATACGGTGCAGTCGTCCTGTCCCCTTTGCAGAAAAGCATCCCCAAAGAATGATGTTTCCACCTCCATGCTTCACGGTTGGGATGGTGTTCTTGGGGTTGTACTCATCCTTCTTCTTCCTCCAAACACGGCGAGTGGAGTTTAGACCAAAAAGCTCTATTTTTGTCTCATCAGACCACATGACCTTCTCCCATTCCTCCTCTGGATCATCCAGATGGTCATTGGCAAACTTCAGACGGGCCTGGACATGCACTGGCTTGAGCAGGGGGACCTTGCGTGCGCTGCAGGATTTTAATCCATAACGGCGTAGTGTGTTACTAATGGTTTTCTTTGAGACTGTGGTCCCAGCTCTCTTCAGGTCATTGAAGTTCGTCTGAAGTTACTTGATATCCAAGATGGCGAAGTAGTGCAGTCCTGTTTCTGTCGTGTGTCTGTAAATAGCCTGTAAATACCCTGTTTTTTTTGTATTTTTCGTACATATTTCCCTATCAGACTTTTCATCCTTCTACAAAATATACTTTCCTGCAACCCGCCTCACTCAATGTGGAACGGATTCTATTATTGACTTACCTTTTATCTAGAATCTCCAGTTAAAACTAGCTAGCCAGCTAACTAGCTACTTGCTATTAGCCACAGCTAGCGGTGTTTCACCCAGATCATTGGATTTTTTCCGCGGGATTAATTTTAATCACTGGACATTGATCACCGGATATTCGGCCAGTCTGCACAGCGCGTTATCGACCCAGAACATATCAGTTTTTCTGCCGGAATCACTGATTCTCTGGACCTTTAACTCCGGATTCATCGCTACCAGCTGGCTACAACAACAACAAAACGGACGCTGTGGTCTGGCTAATCATCCCGAGCTAGGCCCATCTCCCGGCTATCTACCTCTCTATCAACCGGACGGGACCACCTAGTGTTGACACGGAGCCCCGCCGATCCTACACGACTGGTCTGCCGACGAAATCGTCTGATGTGGTTACGACGTTAACCACGAAGATTCCATCCATCTGCTAGCCCTGGCCCGTTAGCACACGTTATCCGTGGCCTCTTACTCACTAAACTGAACTAGCTACTGAACTAGCTACTTGCTATTAGCCACAGCTAGCGGTGTTGCACCCAGAATATTGGATTTTTTTCCGCGGGATTAATTTTTAATCACTGGACATTGATCACCGGATATTCGGCCAGTCTGCACAGCGCGTTATCGACCCAGAACATATCAGTTTTTTCCGCCGGAATCACTGAATTCACTGGACCTTTAACTCCGGATTCATCGCTACCAGCTGGCTACAACAAAACGGACGTAGCACACGCTAGCCGTGGCCTCTTACTCACTAGCGCTTCACCACCGGACCTTATGATAACTCAGCTATACAGCTGATATCTGCTGGACTGTTCCTTTTTACGGTACTACATCCTGTTTATGTTTAGCCTCAGCCCAAACATGGTTAGTTTATTGTTGTTTCGGTTATTTCTAATTGTACTATATCACTGTAGACCCCCCAGCCTAGCTAAACCTGCCTTAGTTAGCTCCTTTGTCCCTCCGCCCATACACTCAGAGACCGACTCAATTGATGCCTCTAGAGATACTATCTCTTTCATTGTTACCCAACGCTTAGGTTTACCTCCACTTTACTCATATCCTTCCATATCCTTGTCTGTACATAATGCCCTGAATCTTTTCTATAACACCCGGAAATCTGCCCCCTTTATTCTATGTACCCAACGCACTAGAAGACCAGTTCTTAAAGCCTTTAGCCGTATCCTTATTCTAGTCCTCCTCTGTTCCTCTGGTGATGTAGAGGCTAACCCAGGGCCTGTAGCCCCCAGTATCACTCCTACTCCCCAGGAGCTATCATTTGATGACTTCTGTAATCGCAAAAGTCTTGGTTTCTTGCACATAAATATCAGAAGTCTACTTCCTAAGTTTGAGTTATTCACTGCGTTAGCACACTCTGCCAACCCTGATGTTCTAGCAGTGTCTGAATCCTGGCTCAGGAAGGCCACCAAAAATTCTGAAATTTCCATCCCCAACTATAACATTTTCCGTCTAGATAGAACTGCCAAAGGGGGTGGAGTTGCAATCTACTGTAGAGATAGCCTGCAGAGCTCTATCATACTATCCAGGTCTGTGCCCAAACAGTTTGAGCTTCTACTTCTAAAAATCCACCTTTCCAGAAATAAGTCTCTCACTGTTGCCGCTTGCTACAGACCCCCCTCAGCCCCCAGCTGTGCCCTGGACACCATATGTGAATTGATTGCCCCCCATTTATCCTCTGAGTTTGTACTGCTTGGTGACCTAAATTGGGATATGCTTAATACCCCAGCCATCCTACAATCCAAGCTAGATGCCCTCAACCTCACGCAAATTATCAACGAACCTACCAGGTACAACCCTAAATCCTTAAACATGGGTACCCTCATAGATATCATCCTGACTAACATACCCTCTAAATACACCTCAGCTGTCTTCAACCAGGATCTCAGCGATCACTGCCTTATTGCCTGCGTCCGTAACGGGTCTGCGGTCAAACGACCACCCCTCATCACTGTCAAACGCTCCCTAAAACACTTTAGCGAGGAGGCCTTCCTAATTGACCTGGCCCAGGTATCCTGGATGGATATAGATCTCATTCCGTCAGTAGAGGATGCCTGGTTGTTCCTTAAAAGTAATTTCCTCTCAAT